ATTTTGGACTAATTTTGTGTACGTGGAAAAAGAAGCATTTTTCCAACATACGACTTCTTAATCTGCGTGAAATAAAAATTCCAGATAAATAACTGTCAGAATAGCAGTTATATGGACTGTTTGTTCTATTTATTAAAAAAGTAAGTATACAACAAATAAATCTAATCGATTTGAAATAGCATGCCATATAAATAAATTTAGAAGGAAATAACTACATCAACTATGCAATTATATGGAAGATACACAGTTTATTAGAAAAATAAATAAGCGAAATTTATGTGGGTTCGAGCCCATGCTAGCATAAATGGAAATGAAAAAGTGGGTACGTTTGCGAAAAAAGAACGAAGATGGGATCCAATTCGCTGTTCGGGGTTCTGCAAGCAGAATTCATAACCGGTCTGCATGGAAGGTATATTGAAGCTTGGAAACAACGATACAGAATCAGAAATATGAGGGGTTTACAAACAAATAAAACTCCATTTCTAAACAAACTTAGAGAATTGTGGAAAAACAGAAACCACGGATACCGGTATATAAAAACATGGAATAAATATAAAACCAGAAGTCATATAATAATGGAATGTCCAAAACAAACTCAAAAGGGAAGAGCTATTCAACGAACTAATGAACTAAAGCATCTACTGTTTGTTTCCAATTAATTATAAAAGTATTTTAGCCTCAAGAAATGTTCAATAATCTGGATTTTGCTATCGTCTGAATGAAAAGATCTAGATTATTCATGAGTTAAAAAGTGGTCGATACATCTAACACTTTAAACATCAAGAAATGTTAACATCTACAAGAAAGTACAAACATTTAAAAATAAAAAATAAAAAGGAAGTTTAGAATAACTAAAAATTAAAATCTGTTTAATTGTCTTAGCTCCGGCTCATCAGCTAACGCAAAAAAATTTATTAAAATTGTACATAGCCCTAATTACGAACACTTAGTATAGCGAGTCATATACCACGGTAGATTCTTAATATTTACGTGTTGATATGGTTTGAAAGGTACCATGAATGTATGAATGACGGAAGGACTTTGCGTTTACGAACACCTTGCCGGCCTCCAAACTTAGGTTTTTGTATATAAATTTTATATTAGTTTTAGGGGTGGGTACTCGGTAGTATATCGAGTTCTCTGAGTCCCACCAAACTTAGATTAGGTTATTGTTATGTAATGGGATTAATTTGTAAATGTAATTATTTAAAGTCGAATTAGGACCATATATACATGTGGGGAATGGTTAAATAGTAAAGGCAGCAAAGAATCCAACATGCCCCATCCAGAAGGGCAGAAGGGTGTTCATGAGTGCCTTCCAGCGGACACATGTAATAGGCAAGCCCAAGCATTTAGAAGAAAAAATGGGTATAATTGTACGTGAAAATTGTTCAATTTTTTTATTAGACGTACCTAACTTCATTCACTTACAATCCTAATAAAATTATTGTATTTATTGACCCGATTTACTAGTTTGTTCGCATATAATCGCCGAGTGAGCTGTTTACAAAAATGCCCCGAACCTATTAACTTCAACAATATCCTTGTCTAAATTTATATTTCCCATTTGATACGTCGAGAATATTTCACAGGTTTAGCCCTGCGGGAGAGCAATGAGGGTGGCATTAGTATAAGAACCGTGTTAAAATAGATACAGCCACTCCTGCGTTAGATTTCACGACGTAAATCTTTTTCAAATACTATTTTTGGCTCATTTAATAATCCCAATGCCGATGCGTAAACCTGTAAATGGATTAAATATTATCTCTCGTCAAAAATATGACAGCTGTTTATGCGTAGTGCTACATGTAGAATATATTGTGACCGAAGTTAATTAAATTCTGGTTCAAAGGAATCTCAACGAGTTTGATGGTTTCCTTATTTATATACATACATATACATAAATGTAAATACATATTAGGAACAATATTAGGAAAATGTATTTTATTTACAGATACTCGAATTTATTTGTATTTACAGATGTCCCTACATATACAGTATAATAGCTTTTAAGAATGCACTGTGGAAAACACTTGGTTGACCTTCCTTGGTTGACACCGTCAAAGCAAGGTATAAAATAAATGCAAATGAAATATATATTTATTTGTTTAAAAAATATCACATATCATTAAGGATTTATAATTGTCACAGACATAAAATATGGAATCGTTATGGCACAGACAGTCCGCACTTGGTTAAATACAAAAGAGGACCGAATTACATTCAAAGTACGGTGACCGTAATTCTTATCCGCCTCGAAAAACAACTTCCATTTTCCATTCTTCATCCTTTAAAATAAATCTCCTTTATTCTCCTTCCTCACCCCTTAAATAACGCGCCGGGGGGTTCCAAAGACGTCCTCCCTCCATACGTCACTGCAAAACAAGTCCATTTTTATCTTCCAATATAAAGTTTGGTATTTCTTCTTTAATTTTGCTTTTCTAAAGATTTTTATTTTAAAGGTTTGGTTCACTATTGTTCATTATTCAATTTCATCTTGAGATCTCGGAAGGTCGTATCCGTTACGTTTAGAAAATTTCCGCAATATAACGAGAAGAATGGAACATGGAAGTTGGGTTTTCCTGCAGCGAAACGCGGCGAATTTAAAAGGAGAAAAATTGATAAAGGTCAACAAATTTTTGGGAGTAAAGTAAAAGCTATTTGTATAAAGTGGACCGAGCTCCGGGTCAAGTAGAAAAAAAGTCTGGTAAACAAAGTACCACCTTGCATGTTTATCGATTCAGTTCTGCCATTGCGTTACGTTAACTGAATATTTTAATATTTATTAACTTTTCATAACAAATTAGAAAGATGTTTTAAGCCCTTATATAAAAAATAGTGCTATCAATCTAACAATATGTGCTATATTTCCCATTAAACAATTAAATAAAAATATATATACTACAAAAAAACGAACCCATATATGACATGCATAAAAAATTATTATTTATTCCGGGCTAAAATGAACTATAACTATTTAAAAACAAAATAATTAAAAAACAAAAGCACGATGAAAAGGAAAGTTAAGTCAAATTTCATCTTCAGATGAAACAGAATAATTGTAATTTCCGGGCCTTTATACAATTAATTATTAATTGAACCGCATTAACACTGTTGTTTATGTTTTTTCTTTCCAATTGGTTATCACAAAATTTTCGCTTGGTCCGTCTCTCCATGCAATTTTGGTAAAAGAATGTTAAAAAAATATACAGTAACATATATCAAACTTTAAGCGGATGCATTGTTATGACAAAAGATAAAACCAAAGGATAATTAAACTTCTATCTTTAGTGTTTAAATAGCCAAACAAATTTTGTTGAAATAAAAAAACGATAAATTTTTAATTAGTATTTTGTTAAAAAATATCAATAATTCCAGTATAAACCCACAAAAAATTCCGAAATTCTAATATTAAATTTGTTTTAAAAACGTAAACTATTTCTTCAATTAATTTTCTTAATTTTTCAGCAGATGAATGCATAAATGCATAACCGAGATTTCTTAGAATTTTGTAGAAATAACTTTTTAACTGTTGTTTACAACAATATTTATGTTCTTGCGATTTAAATGCACGTCGCGTATTAAAAATTAAATAAAGTACGCTAAGTTCAATTATGTAAAACATGAGCAATTTGTACAATACTTTCTCCTGCTTCGTTCAAGTCAAATAAGCGCAAGCTTTTGTAATACACGACCAACACTCGTTAACACAATGGCACACTTGAGCATATTTAAAGGTAATTGTAAAAAATATTTAAATTTTAATAGCGTATATGAATATCAATAATTAACATGATTAAAAAAAAAGCACGAGGCATTTTGTTATTGTTTACAATCCCGCAACGTTAAGGCCGCCCGAGTCCGTCGATGAAAAGTGAAATAAACGTAAAAATAGTGAACAAAAACCTTTTTCCTTTTTAATTCTAGGCGTCAAAAAGGAGGAAACAAAGTAAAAAAGCAAATAATTCAAAAAATAAATGAATAACAAAGAACATTATAAAATCAACGACAACAATTTGTATACACAGTGGTGTGGAAACGGCAAAGGGTCAAATATCTCACTATTATCATTACATTTATCTCTTTGGGAATTATTTATTTCTGTACATAAACCACATAGTGAATTTAAAAACGTCTGTATAAGTTATTGTTATTTTTAAAAAAAATTAATTTAAACTTTTTTTTTAGAATCTGAACTTTAATTAAACCATATTCCTACTGTTGAATAAACTAATTCCCACGGTGGCTATCATTTTCCTTAGGTATAAAAATAATTTAAAAAGCCTGACGTCGTCAATAAAACCTTTACAAAAAAAATTAAAGATTAGAAAGCAACCGTGCTTTCCAAAAGCAAACAAGGATCACAGAATGCATCCACAATACTAAAGAGAAATAATTATGATTAATCATGAATGAGACATGATTTTTTTAAAATACAAATCACTAGTGGTCTATTGACCAGTTCTATTACTCATACGACCCCCAATATTTCCAAATGGCAATGATGTGACTCAATACTTGCAATTACAGCGACCTTGGCCTTTTAAAAATAACCGTTATATTTAAATAATAGAAAAGACTACAAATTTGCAAATTTCAAGAAATCTAATTTTTTATACTGTTCGTTATTAATTTTTTTTCATTAATATATATTATATATGAGCAGTTAAATTTTGAGTTTTGATCATTTGTTATCAATTAGATATTAAAGGGAGGTAGATTGTTTAATTTTTATTTATTTTATATTAGTTACATTTAAAAGGTTGGCGGTGAAACAAATGTACAAAAGAGATCAATTTTTTTGGTCTTTAAACTTCGTAGGTGTTTTATTCGGGTGCTAGAACGACATATCGACACGTGATAACTAGGGGCCAAAAACAGCGAAACCGGGCGGGCACCGCAAAAAAAAACGTCAGAGACCGTCTGACAACTGAAGGATCGAGTTCATTTTCCACACCACTGCGAAGTCAAGGTTGTCGAAACGACACAGCGCCACTTACCTCATGAACGACCCCATTCAGGTTCAATGCAGTCAAACATGTCAGGCTTACAACACGATTTATGTCAGTCACTAAGAAAATCTTCGAGCGGGAGAGAATACAACCAGTCGCCATATTCCCATTCCTCAGACTGGATGACTGCCGCGGTCGACTGGTGAAGGCGAGACGTTCACGAGGTGACCCGCGAGAAGCGCCCCATGCGACTAATGCCTCCAGTCCCTCCTAGTTTCAAATGTTAGTCGTGCAAAATCGGCTGCAAAGCTCTTTCCTTTCCTAATTCTGCACAGTTGTGAGCTTCAATTTTTTTCGCGAAATTAAGTTTTAAGTTTGCCCCTAGGGATTAGCTTCTTACTACCATTTTTTCTCCTTAATACGCTTCGATATTTTTGGTTCGATTATAACTACAACCGCAACATTGTTTCAAAATCGAGCCAACAAGTTTTTCCGAATCTGAAAATACTGAAAAGTAAGCTGATCTCGTTGTAGAACGAGGATTTGGCAAAATTTGTTCATTTTCGACGTTGCAACAAAGAACATGTAAACCGAATATAATTTAAAGGGATTTCTGTGTAGGGTCGCAACTTCGGTGTCTGGTAACACAGCTTCGAAAATAACAACTCATTTATCACTAATTATTCATTAATTAACATTTCCGTATTTGACAATTCAGAATGGGGAGAAAAATTATTAAAACCTTAGTCGATGAATTTTGGATTACGTAGCTACGGATTTGGGATCACGAATATTAACGAAATGTTTTTGGTGACTAGGTAGAAAAATATAACGAGTCCATGCGTTCTTCCCAATGAACCATAGGAGCCAATAAACAAAGTAATATATGGTTTTTTTGGTTTCTTGACCTTCGTGGTGCATTGTTTTAAGGTTATTATTCTGTAAATTAGATGAAATTTTATTTGCTGAAGGGAGACGTTTTATGCTAACACGAATTAGAAAAATATTAGACACCTGTCCGAGCTTTTTACCAATGAGCCATAGCAGCCTAAAAAAAAGTAAAATATGAGACGTTTAGTTCCTGGCCTACGTTGAGACCCCTCGATCGACAGGCGTCGAGAAAAAATAAATGTTAGGCGAGTTATGTAATTTTTTAAACTGTTTTTCTACCATTATTGTGCATATATTTCAAAGTTATTTATATAAGTAGAGTTGTATTTGTATGTATATAGAATGAAAATTTGCCGAAGTAAAACAGGGATCAGAAACATCTGAGAAGTGCCTTGCCACACCGGTCAATATTCATTCCTCTGTAGTGCATAATTTTTACTTCTGACATACCCATAAATGCGATTGCACTTACTGCAACATAAGCAGATGATACCGCGACATTAGCACATCGTCCCTCTTCTACCCAAACTTCCGTTATGTCAACAATCGAAAAATGCAGCAATCTTCGGAAAATGCTCAAATCTTGGAAAAATTTGGATGTACATGTACCTAGTATTCGGCCAAATATTACAATATTCAAAGATTAACCCTGACATCCTTACAAATGGACTTTTTTATTCAAAAACAACGGCACCACCCCGAGGGTTCATTTAAAAAAAAAAAAGTTTAAAAAAAATTACGATTAATTATTTCTGTCCCTTCTTATAGTTTTTTAAAAACAATTAGAATTTGTTTTAAGCAACGCTTAAACCCATTACATACGATGTCCAGTCACAATCAAAAATATACATTTTTGGGCTGGATTCGCCGGGTTCCAGCCCAGATTTTTTTAGAGGCGACATTTTTGCCATTATGTGTTGTTTATGAAGTTCTACTGTCCCTTGTACTTTCAAGTAAATCGGTGGAAACGTTTCAAATTTATCACTGTTTATTTGGAGATCGTGAGATGCAGTCTGGTGTGACGTCACACCAGACTGCATATCACGATTTTCAACTAATCATTAACTAACGGTCTCTAAACACCACACATTTATCACTGTTTGTGATTTTCGAAATAAAAAATTACAGGCATCTGGAAGGCGAAAAATTGGAGAGAAATTATTGATTTGTGATTATTTCACAAAATTTATTCAGATGTTTTTAGGAGTGCAAAAATCGAATATCAACGTTGTTTTACATTAAAAAAATGTTAACCAACTTTGGTATTTGTGGCTTGGTCATAAATTATGCATTTCATTATCAAAGATATCCATGGCCAGCAGCATTGTATGTCAAATACAATTTTGAAGCGTGACGGGGCGACTTAGCAAAGTAAATTGATTTAAAGCAAGAAACAAAGTCATATCCGTTTTTTGCACTTTGGTAACTTTAAAATGAAACCATCGATCTATCGGAACCTATACAGGGGTTTAGAACCTTTTAAACTAGTATAATCAATGGCATAATTTTGACCTTCGTAAATAAATTAGAACTGGAGATTTAAAATCAAAAGTTAGAGGTGATTTTGTTGATTTTACCCTTATTTTCACTGATAATGAAATAACATTAAACGTTGTTTATATACGTTGAAAGACGCAAAATATAACTTTCCAATGACTATCCTCACATGGAATTTGGATAAAATACAGAGTTCCTGGAAGAACATGCATACAAGAGCAAAAGCCTGGCCATTATCAATAGATGGCAGCCAACCAAAAGTACTCTGGAGAGGAATATATGATAATTGCTGCTTTGTCTTTATTAACTTATGCAACTTTTCATTCTACTGAATGAGCTTTCAACCTCCTCAGGTCATAACCGACCTCACTTGATTCACAAGGAGTATTTTGAATGTGAATGAATATTTGATGCATTGGTCAACTATGATAAAAATTGGGTATTGTGTAATAACTGAATGGCATTAAATGATGATTAATAATGCCAATATTCATTTGGGTTTTTACATTCTTGTAATTTCTCTTACGTAGCAATTGATTCAAGGTACTTGAAAATTTAAAAATAAAAATTAAAAAACTTTTCATACTAGATTTATCAACTCAAATGAATGATGCATATCCTGTGAATTTCAGAAATGCAAATAAAGCAAGAAAATTTTATTTTTATGATATAAACAAGTTATGTTTTGTGTGCATACATGCATTAAATTATACATCCTTCTCGATTGATCCTATTGAGAAAAACTAAGAACATTGTGGTTTAAGACAAGCAAGTAAACATGAACCTACCTTATTGATTTTTTTTTAAATTTTATTATTTTAATATTTAAGATGGGTGGACTAACAGCAAGAATAACACCAAAGGAGAACTCTTTATTAATTTTTCTTTTGAAAAACTTTTAATAGTTAAGAACATTTTTAATGCTGAAAAATACTTCATGTCCTGCTCATGTTGTTTTGTATTTCCATACGATGACTGAAACTCATTCTAACAACAATACACTAATGTATTTTGGCCTTAGGCTATTTTATGTGGAAGATACATTTCAGATTTCTCGATTACATGAATAAAAAAATCAACTTTATTTCTTAACTTTTTCAGATTATTTTCTACAAAATTTATACTTCATGTAAATGAGAATAAGATTATAAAACATTTTCCAGTTAGAAATTATAAAGTAAGATGACTGCTTAACACTTGTAGGAGGTGTAACAGATAATATGACATAACAGATACACAAACTTCCATGCATCCTTCTAACAAAAAAATAATGCATTAAAATCACAATTAACCACGTCAGTTGTGTTATGATGCAAATGCTTTTATACAGTTTATATTAAAAGATATGTTACCAAGGAATTATGAAAAAAGTGGAGAAAACAAATTGTTCTTATTAAATTCACTAGTTTCGTGTTCCGCTTGACCAAATAATATCTTACAATTATATAATTGTAATTATTGTAAATTAATTATTGTAACTTGTTCTATTTGCTTTTTCATCATACTCAGGAAACAGATTTTGGCTTGATTAGAATTTTAACTTAATATGGTGTTTTTGCTTTAATCTGAGGAGAAGCATTGAAAAATTTCATCTTGAAAAATAAAATAGCATAACATGAACAACGGTGGACATGTTGAAATTTATAAAACTAATTTTTATATAAGGAGGGTATATTAGTTTTGAAAAAGTAACTCTTCCTCATCTAACTGACCTTTTTTAACACTTTTATTGCATTTTATGAACAATTAAAAATAGACATGCCATTTTATTGATGTATAAAAATGATTTTTAATAAACAAATATTAAAAATTTAAAAAAATTGTTCTCTATTTAAATATTTAACTTAATCATGGTTATGTTTATATTGAGAATATACTATGATGATGACCTATGTAACTTTAATAGTAATTATCATTTTGATAATATGCCTCAACATTTTAGTATATATTAATATACCTTTCAATATTAACAAGTCTTAACGAACAAGTTCATTTAATAATTATTTGTTTTCAGAAGAAACCTTAATCCTCCAAACAAGTAGTCAGTTTTCAAATATTATTAAATATTTCGTTAATTGCGTCATTTATAGATGTTCTATTATCATTGAATTAAAAAATAAAAATAAAATGATTTTAACTCAGGATTCCCAAACTGAATTTAATGTATAAGACTAATGAAGGCAATTACATAGAATACATAACATTACACTACAGGCTTAAGGACAAATTAAGTTTATTAGCAAAGAATGCAAGGTCTAGAACTAGAAAGCTCTTAAAGAAGCAGATCTTGATTTTTTTAAATTCTGACTATAGACGATTTACCAATATAAGGTGATCAGTGTGACACTAAATAAATATAAATATGCATGTACTTCTATACAATTTCTTACAATATTAATATTTCATTTCCATAAACTGAAGTAGCCAAATTAATGACTAATAAGGAGACAAAGCATAACAGAATTGATATAAAATACTATAGACGTATGTAAAAAATCAGAGGTAGGGATATTTGTAAGAAAGAAAAACACTCAGTTCCTTCGTCCAGTTTTTCATGATTATACCACTTCATCAAAACTTTGAAACTATTTATAATAATCGACACAGTTTCTTTTAGGGGTAATCCCCTTCAAGGGTAAATTTATGAGTTTTAGCTTAGTAGAGTGGACGAGATCTACCACTCATCTCATTCTACATTACAATTGTGTAATGAAATTTCAAATTCACCTTATTATATGTTTCATATACAGTTGCAATATTAAGGTTGATATCTATCACTTCAATAATAAAATAATTGTATGTAATTACAAAGGGAACCTTATTAACGTATTCTAAAGAGACAGGTACCCAAAACAGTCATATTATTTTGACAAGCAACTTGACAAATGTTGAGATCATTTAAGAATTTATTTTTCAATAATATGTAAAATTATCATTGATAATGATGAGTAAAATGTAGACTGTTATACCTAACAATACACAAAAAATATCAATGTAGCTAAAAAAAAATAAAAAATAAAAATGGTTATTTGTGGTTTTGTTGTATTAGTTTAGCAGTATGTAGTTAGTGCCATGTGTTGTACTTGGCAGTATCCTTGTTAATGTTTACATTGTTACAACTACTCTATTATTACTTAAACTAATGGTTCGGAGGCAGGCAATGCATTTTTCACTTTGTCTTCCTCATTTTATTCACACCAACAAATACATTCACCCAAAACCATGTGTTTACTATTCTAAGTTAACCTAATATTGTTTTGACAGGTATATGGGTCGGAACTCAACGTTCCACACAGACTGTGTCCATACACACTTATCCACCCAGGAAAATAAATATATTCATGCTGTTCTCATCTTCAGAATCATCCTCCATATTATGACTATAAATTATAACTGAACTTATTCAGTGGATATTAAGATTTGTTTTAGCAGAGGATATTGTGTATTTAAAGGATGTAAAATAAATATGTTTTTATTAACAAAATTATAGGAGATTATTTTAAAAAACATGACCTAAACATGGTTCAGCCCAACTGCCAGATGGATTACTATAAAATAAATAGGTTACTATAAAATAAATAAGAAAAAAGAAAAGAAAATCTGGCTAGTCAGCAAGGTGATCAAACAGAACAGTCATCATGAATGGTTGAAAGAACACAAGCCAATGAGCATACAAAGATACTGATCCTAGCTTCTAAAGCAATTATTTTAGCCTACTTTCTATCTAAAGAATATAAAACGATCAAAATAAATGATAAGTGAAGTTGGTACATAAATCAAGTCTGTAGTCATTTCTAAATAAATCGTATCGTTCAAATTTATGCCAGGAAGTGCAAATAATTTCTGGATAAAAACCTTAAAAAATTTTCAATTACTTCGTATTGTTGGTAGACACATCTGGCAACTGTAAAGGCTGGTACACACTCGTGGACAAATTGCTCAACACGTGTCTTTAGACAAAGTTCTGCGATTGTCTGTAGACAAATTGGGAACAAATCACTTGTTCTGCAACTACCTGCAGACAAAAATTGCAATTGTATGTTCTCCCAGCTTGGATGGAAACCTTCGGACATGTTGTATAACATTTGCCACAGAGAGGTTGGAATCGTTGCTCTCAATCTTGTTTCTTACATATTTTATTTTCAACCATAAGTAGCAAATTTTCAAAATCCTGATGGTTAACTGGGTAAAATTTCTGAAATTTGAACTCCCTTCTAATTTTAATTTTTCCAGAATAGTCAACCATCTTGGATTTGTTTTGCAACAGTCTCAGACAAAATCGGCGATTTGCCTATAGACAGTTGTCTATGAATGTGTACCAGCCTTAACAGGAGATTGAAAAAGACCATAAGTTGAATGCACTATGCTTCATTCTATCGGAACCACTTCTTGGATCATTAATGTGGTCCAGTTTTATTTATAATTTATTTATTTGTTCATTTACAGATTGAAATCCACTATAAAAAGGCCTTTTACAATACAAAAGTAAAAATAATATATGCAAAAATACAAATAATATATATAAAAAGAATAAGGACATATATACATGGTAATATTATAAATGGTAAATATAAATGATAAATATAAAAATACAATTAAAGAGTATAAACTGAACAACAACAAAAATTGAAGGACATAATTACTAACCAAATTTAGGCAAAGGAAACAAAATAAAGCTGAAAGACAATTGAAACTACAATATTTAGGTACATATTTAATGAAAATAATGCTCATTGTAGATATATAATCAGCTAGAGTGCAAGATTTAGGTGAACCAGTATATGAAATAAATAGTAATAAATTTTTAATAGTATGAAATATAAAAGCATTTAAAAAAAATATAAACTGGTAAGAAAATTGAACTAACGTAGGGTTGTAGGGTACGGTTTTTCACAGATTGCACAGAACTATTGAAGAAGTCAATGCTATTGCAGATGTTGTTACTCTTGATCATCATTCTGTGTAGAGGAGAAGAGAGCATGTAGTTAGAGCTTTGGACTTCAATATAAAATAGTTTGTGGGTTTTAAGAGAGTGCGAAGAGATGTGTAGCTGTAGCTGAGAGAGGCGAGAAGGACTATCAAAGATTGTTTAATTATTTAAATACAGAAACAATATCAAAGTAATCCCTTCTTAGTGCCAGTTTGAACAGTTTAAATTCAGAGCGGATTCCAGGGTAAGCAGTGTTTGGAGGAAGATTGAGTTTGTAAGAAAGTTTTTTTTTGATTTGTCTTGTACAGATTGAAGAATTTTTTGATAATTTAGATAGAATGGATTCCAAACAGGTGTAGCGTATTCTAGTATGGGTTGTACAAAAGCTTTATAAAGATGGACAAAACAAGGGATTTTTAAATTCATAGGTGTTCCGGATGATGAAAACTAGCATCTTAATAGATCTATTTTTTATTGAAGAAATATGTTCTTTAAACTTGAGCTTTTAATCAAAAAGTACACCAAGATCCTTTACGACCTCAACTCGCGCTAAAAGAGAATCATGGAGAGTGAAGTGATAAAGAAAAGGTTGTTTCCTATGAGAGAATGTAATTGTGTAGCATTTGGAGACATTGAGAGCAAATTTGTGATTATGCACCAGGTTTGCACATTGATAGAATTTTGTAATTGAAAGCAATCAGAAGGAGAAGTAATTTTGGAATAGATTTTCAGATCATCAACAAATAATAAAAATTGAGCAGAAGTAATTATTCAGAAATTGTGAGATGCGGTCTGGTGAGATCTCACGTTTTCTGAATAATTATCGATTAACAGTCACTAATCACCATACATTGAGCAGAAGGGAGAGCAAGATGGATATCAATAATAAATAAGAGTCTGGTACAAGATGAGACCCTTGCGGGACTACCGAGGAAGCCGCAAAGGGACACAATTTCAATGATTTTACTTTGACTATTTGTTTTCTCTCAGAGAGAATTCAAGATAGTTCCGGTGAAACCATAATCCATCAGTTTCCTTAACAGTATTGTGTGATTTACTTTATCAAAAGCTTTAGAGAAATCAGTGTACACTGAGTCTCCTTGGTGTCCAGAGTTTATTGCATCTAAGATATAATTTTGAAATGTGAGCAGGTTAGTAACAGTTGATCTATTGGAGCAGAAACCATGTTGCTGAGGAATAATAAAAAAATTAATGTCGTTTTTAAGTGTATTACAAATAATGGAATCAAATATCTTGGAGAACATGGATTGAATAGATATTGGTCTGTAATTGGAAACATTAGATCTATCGCTGGCTTTATGTAGAAGAATGACAAAAGTTCATTTCCAAGCATTGGGGAAAATACCTGTTTTTAACGACTGTTCAGGACATCGTGTAAAGGAGCGATGAGAGCTGCAGAACAATTTTTAACTAGTATAGGGGGTATATTAGTATAAAAGGTATATATAATATAAAATAGATCAATATAAGAGAAGTGGTTACGTTACAAACTCTTGTTTTTACCAAAATAGACAAAGAAAATAATATTACAAGTTGGACTCCTTCACCTCTTTGTTGAACTTGTATGGGGATTAAATCAAGGATTTCTTGAGCAATATAACATCAATAAGCCCTGTAATAAAAGAAATATAATGTTACTCACATGTGATCCTCTCTCGGTGTCACAACGATGTGGGGGAAGCTTTCATAAAAGTACAATAATTGTAAAACAATAGAAAACACAATAATAAACTCTTTTTCCCGACAGTTTTAAATATTGTCTTTTGAAAAAAATAACTTTCGAAAAAACAGATGTGATTTGAAGTTTTAATTTATTTTCTATTGATTTTTAAAGGACTCACTTTCATTCGGCCCCGACCAAATTAACGGATTCTAGTTTTAAATGGTTCAAAGTAAAGTCTTAACTGTTTCGATTCAATTGCATTTAAGTAAAATATTCTTCAAGATAAGTGAACAATATTTATTATCATTTACATTTATATTATCATTGACATTTATATTATCGACTTTGAGGATATATTTGAAAGAAATTAGATTTTGTTAAACAATGGTTTACGGAAAAAAAATTGGCGCGAAGGTTCATGTTTCCGTTGAAATGCAGCTCACAACCCTTTGCAACCTAACCCAAACGGGTCGTTAAAGGCACTGCTTCCGGCCTAGCTTACTTCCGCTGTGACGTGAAATCTGTGCGTAAAATCAGAAGTGTTTGCATTCCTTACTTCAAGACTTATAAGTTTTCAGTTTAATATTCTTTTAATTTGAAACCACGTGAGTGAAATCCTCCAGCTGCCGACGGAACCTAGCATGTATCGTGGTAGTCTAAGCCATTTAGGTGTTGCATTCCTGGGTACTGAAAAGAAGATTGGCGAAGAGGCGACTCACCCGTTCTCCTCAGGTACTGGGGTTTTATTTAATTTTAGTTTATTTAATTATTTCCATTATTCCAATTAATTGTTCTTTTAATCTACGGTTTTTCATCTTAACCAAAAACCTTAGATGAAAAGAATAATTAATTGGAATAATTAATATGGATAATTACGACCACTAAGCAAATATGGATTAATTTCCATGACGCACAACAAACATTAATCCTACTGCAAATTTGTCTACATCAATCGAAAGAACATTAAATATCCTCTAGGATTAATTTTTGATATTGTAACCTTAAGCAAACAAAGTACAAAATTAATTAGCACATAAAATTCACGAGTTTTTGAAGCTCTTGACTAAATTTTAAATAAGATTTTTTTGGATCTGTATGTGGACAAATACGACGCTTACAGAAAACCTCCCCCCTACTAATGAGCTTTAAGCACATTTACTTAACTTCTCAAAGGTCAGTTATCATCAATGTAAAATTAATGTTTAATTTCTAAAAATTTAATATTTCGGTTACAAATTGGTTAAAAAATTAGTCATTAACAGTTATTAAAATGTGGAAACTTCCAGTAAAAATAATGGAAGTAATACAAAGTGAAAAAAACCACTCTTTCGTACAAAATTGAATTACATAAGAAAACACAACAAACTTCTAATAATTCAATTAATGTGTAGTGATTAGTGACCGTTAATCGATATTTATTTAGAAATCGTGGCACTCTCGACACGTCACGCAAGAATGGCACAATTACACAGAAGACAAACACTTTGAGCCCTGAAGATGATCTCAAGAAAGATCGAAACGTTGGCACGATAAAGAAAATGTTTTTCTGAAACCTACATCACACCAGACCGCATCTCACGATTTCTAAATAAAATTCAATTAATGTTCAAAAAATCAACCTTCTTAAAGAATATAAACCTGAGATAATTTCCTGACAGATTTTACTGCGCTCAAGTGTTCATCCTGCTTTTCTTCTGTCATAGTCCACAGGATTATTCGATTATTGCTACGAGGTTAATTGAGAGAGGGTACGGAATATACTTAATTTTTACGAGTTTCCCATCTGTAGAAGTCGACCGAGGTTAAATCTGAATATGTTGCTTTTTCATATGTTCAGTTTTGTACCAAAAGTCTTTTTTCTTTACGTTCTATTATTTTTTTTAAACATCTTAAACTAATTTTTTTAAACCAGTTGTAACCGAAATATAGATGCAGAGCTTTGGCTCAAAAGCAAACTCCCATGACATATTCTTAATTAATCTCATATCTCATCATATTCTAAGAGTCATACAATTAAAATTGTGGTACACTTAATTAATATTTTGTAACTAGAAGACTCTTGAAAATGTTTTTAAAACGAAGTAGAGAAAAGAGACTGGTTTAATTATTAATACAAGGAAATTTTTATTTACATTGTTTCATTGTTATAATTTTGTTAGTTTTATAAACCAATCTATTGTGATGCTTAAAATAAGGCTTATTTAGAAATCAAATTGCATAAAAATAGCATATTTTTGTAAGAATTGTTCGAAATCAGTTGATGATGTTTCGTTAGATATGCATGGCGTTTTCCCACATAAAAAATACATTGTCTGTATAGACACTGCAGAGATTGCTTCTTTGAAAGTGCCAAATTGGTCACACCCCGAACAAGTGATATAGTTGTCTAAGGAATACACTTCGCAACATATTTGGACACACGATACTCATATTGAAAAACCGACTGCCCGATAAATAACTTTATTGTCTAAATAAACCCGGGCAGGGATTTATAAGACGTGTTTGCAATATTTCAGTATCGCGTATTGTTCAGTGAAAGTTGATCGTGCATAATAAATCTCAGCTTTGTACTTTAAATCCGTAGAAGGGAATGTTTGAAGGGAAAAAAACCCGTTGTACTCCACGTAATTCCAAAACGAATCGGGAATAATGGTATAAGGCCAGAATAAGACATTATATCAAATAAAGGTAACAGTATATTTTGCTGCTTGTTTGATAAAAAAACCATCTCCGCACATTCTCACTGTTGATCTTCTGTCAGAAGAGTTTCGATTCTAGGCCGTCTTCCATGGTCCAATTCGCTGTGTTTATTGTGACTTAACCGGACAATTTGCCTGTATTGGACACCGTTTCACCACTTTACAATTTACAAACGATCCAATTACAAATTTACGACAGTGCACTGAGTTATGCAAAAAATAATGTCGCCTTTTGTTTAACATCTTTATTCAGTCCGTGTGAATCATTCCATGACGGTGCAGATTATTCAATTTTTATACCACGCTGAAAGATTCCTGCTTCATAATTTTACAATGACCTGAATAAATTCTGGTGAAATGAATACACTTGGGTGTGGTAGCACCTTCCAGACCAAGTGGTACAATTTATGCCCTGTCACCAAAAAAATATTGTGACCTTGCGTTGTCATGGAAGAAAACTATTTCCATTAATAGCGGTTGATTTATCCATATGGCTGGAAGAAACTATTCCCATTCACTAATAATGGTTAATTTACCTAGTTTACTACGGAGCAATCCTATTTCTATTCACTAATATAGGTTGATTTAACTATATAAATATATTCAGTTCTAGTAAGTAGAGTATTTTATCTAAATAACGCATTATATGGTATAATTATCTATTGGGTTGTCCGGAAAATAATGCAGGATTTTGGTATTAAACAAAAAAAAAGAAACTAGTTACTTTAAAGCAATGTTCTTTAATCAAAATAATTTCCCATACTCTCAATACATTTCTCCCAACGTGTTGGTAACTTATTAATTCCGTCTGAGTAGAATTCAGAATTTTTAGAATTGATAAAGTCAATAAATGCATTTTCCAGTTCCGTTTGATTTTTGAATATTATGTGTTGTAAGTAGTGGTCCAGGTGTCTAAAAAAATGGTAGTCAGTAGGCGAGAGGTCCGGAGAGTAGGGTGGGTGAGGCAAAGTTTCATAGCCAAGCTCCAATAATTTTTGTGACGTTACACGTGACACATGTGGTCGAGCGTTGTCATGCAACAAAATGGGCCCTTTCCGATTGACCAAAGAGGGCTTCATTACTGCCAATTTCTGATGCATGGTATTAATTTGGTTACAGTATGATTCAGCATTGATGGTTTCGCCAGGATTTAAGAAGCTGTAGTGTATTAAACCAAATGAAGCCCACCATACCGTAACCATTACCTTTTTTTGATGAGTTGGGGGCTTTGGAGCTTCTCCTTTGTCGAGCCACTGTCCAGAACGTCTAGTGTTATCGTAGAGAATCCACTTTTCGTCACATGTAACAATTCTGGCCAGAAATGGGTCATTTTTGTTTCGACAAAGAAGTGATGCACAAACATCAAAGCGCTGATTTTTTTGGCGATCGTTTAATGAGTGTGGAACCCAATTTTCGAGTTTTTTCACTTTTCCAATCAAAAAGGCCTTGAGGTGGTCAGCGACGGTCGTTTTACTGACTTTGAGTTGCTCTGCAAGTTCTCGAACAGTTGTTTTGGGGTTTTCTTCCACCACTGATCGCAGAACATCATCATTAAGAGAGGAAGGCCTTCCACGACCTTCTTCATCTTCAAGGCTGAAATCTCCCTCCCGAAATTTTTTAAACCACCTTTGCACAGTGCACTCATTAACACAACCCTCGCCCCAGACTTGGTTAATGTTTCTAGCCGTTTGGGCTCCGCTTCGGCCGAGTTTAAACTCGTAAAAGAAAATCGTACGAAATTCTCGCTTTGACATTATAAGGATGACTGAATTATTTCCAAGTAGCGGAATGCTACAGAGGTAAACAAACAATATCATTTGGAAGAGGATTAATAAGTGTTGACATTCATACAAATGAGTAATCCTGTAAACGTAAACAGAATATTTTATATAGATTTTTTTTAATGAAAACTTAAAATCCTGCATTATTTTCCGGACAACCCAATACTACTAGCAATATATATATAATTGTTATAATTTTATTAATATTAGATACGTTGCTTTAATCTTGTTATTCATTTTTCAAAAAGCAGTTCAATTTACTTATCTGTATGATTTTGTATTAAAAAAATCAGTGATAAGGCCAATTTGAAGGAAAAGAAAACATTCAGTTCGTTCGTCACGTTTTCGAGGAGTATTTCCCCTTCATCAAGACTTTGAAAGTATTTCTAATAATTTGCAAGGTTAATAGAAAATGTACTTACGTTATTAAAAATTTCAACCATAAGGGATTTATGACTTTAGCTTACAAGGAGAGGATACGGTCGATGGATCACCTATTTTAATGAAACGTTTTTTGTGATACAAGGCCGGTTTTTGAAACAAAGCACATTTGTATATAATGTAACCCTCCCAAATTAAAAATATATATTTAAATTGCTTAATTTTTTTCTCAACTCCTAGGCTCATTGGCAAGAGCGCTCAGGCCAGTGTGTCGCATTTTGCTTGCTAGTATCACCAAAAAATGTTTCATTAAAATCTGTGATCTCAAATGTGTAGGCGTCCCCCCTGTAAGAAAATGTTTTCACTTTTACGAGATGTTATTTATTTATTTTTTGCAAACAAAATTCGCAAGTATCGTTGACTGATGTTTTATCTACATTATTATTTAAATTATATATCTACATTTATCTACGTTATAACCAACATGAGCATTGTGCTCAGCCTATCAAATCAATCATCATCCATAGTACGGTTTTCACTCAAAACCCCTTTTCTTCATAGATGATCTTACAATAGTAAAAAAAAGATCATTCGATGGCAGATCTTTTGTGTAGTGCAGCAACCCAATTTTTTTCCATATTTTTTTACTTTTCAACATCCTCGATATGTCCTCAAATCAAAAATAAAACAAAATCAAAAATTCGTTTCAAAATGAAACTACATCTTCGAACCGTAATATCGAAAAATCAGTTTTATAGTGTCACTATTGAAAAATAAATCGTTTTTTAGAGTTTCAAGCTGTTTATATTCAAAATTTATTTATAGGCAACTTTTTACATCTCGCGCACACCATAAGCAAAAATGATAAAGCAGATGATGATTGGTGATAAAATCAATCTATACAAATAGTCCTTTTTATTTTTTTGCAACAAACAAACGCATTTGAGATCAGATTACCCTGTTCAATTGATATCCCAGAATTGAAGCAATGCGCATTCCTAACGAAACAGTGCACATGGTCATGCTTGATGTAACTACAGTTGAGAAAGGCCAGTTGGGTCGTCTATTACCCGGCAAAACGGAGCAAATCGGTGTAAGACCGGTTGTTTATATCATTGTCATCTTTGAGACATATCGCTTTGTCACCCGGGAATGTTAATTGCACTCTGTTGACTATGCGAATCGCTCTGGATTCAAGGATACCAACAGTTAAATCCAGTGATCTCGAAAGGAATTTCTGCATCAAAGGAATCATTGGTATTTGTAGTCAAAATTGGCCCTCTACTCTCTTTACTGAAAAATTCAAAATAATTAAGATTAATGCGATTTGCACTGTATGGATTAATAATTTTACAGCGTACAACGTTTTTGTTCCCTAAGTGCTGGGTTTAACTTTAGTAACTAATCAACTCCACGATCCCTTTATTATATTAATTAATTTTTTAATAAGTAATTGTAATTAATAACAATTAATTTATTTATAAATTGATAATTTGTGCCATGTATTCAAAACGTTATAAATAGTAAAAATTGAAATCGGATATTGCAAATTGTCGTTGTTTAAGAGTTACATTTTAAGGTGTACGATATTATTTTTCTTATACTTTTTTCCTTTTGTAGACAATATCTTGTGTACAATATATTATTATTTGTCCATGTGTGGTTATTCGTGCTATTTGCTTATTATAAATGATTTATTTTAATCCTGTCCCACCCCTGTCGGGATGTCTGGAATAGGGTCAGAGCCATCTCAGGCCAGAACTGAGTTGGGTCGCGTACGGAATTCCAATCCGTTGCGAGACGGTATCTCATATGAGATGCTTTGTCACCTTCACCAGGGTGCGAAGCATCTCTTGTTGCTTCAACACCGTGTATGATACGGGCTCCTACCCTGACCGATGGCAAGAGGCGCTTATTGAACCTTAATCTTAAAGTAGGGCGGGACTCGAGTCTGACAGATTTCTCCGACGACCTACCTGAGTAAACTCCTCGAGTCCATGGTTTTTGTTCGCTTGTCCTAGTACCTTGAGACGATGAGAATTTACAGCCAGTTTTGCAAACATCATTTTGCGGTGATTCATGATAGTCAGGTGACAGCTGTTCAGGATACGTTCCTAAACAGAGAACACGCTTTAACAGTGTTCATTGACTTCTAGACGACACCACCTGGAGATATGCGATTCTGCGGAAATATGACAACGGCCTCAATGACAAAATGTCACGGTTTATCCGTGTGTTTCTGGAAAATCCAAAATCCGATTCAGGCTGGGATTCCGTGCAATACAGGGATCACGTTGAGGAGAACGACATCCCTCAGAAATTGGCTATGAGCGCTAATTCTGGTAGCGGTGAACGGTTTCGCCGGTTTGTCCCACGCACATACGATAAATACTTCATGTCGACGACCTCTGTTTTTACATTCTGTTAAAGAGCTAACAGAGATCGGCGGGGTGATGCAATCGGTGGCAATTGGTGGCTGCAAGGGCTGAGGAAGCCGCATTTACCTTCTCCTCGACGAAGACCTTGTGAGTCCATTTTTGCAGATTAAGGAGGGCTCATAACCCATCACAACTATGCCTGGGGGGGGGGGCCGTTTACATGCAGACTGTGCATTATTTCTAATAGGGAGTGGCTACAGACGACGGATCACTGATTTTAATAAAACATTTTTGGTGACACACATATCCGTGTTTTCTTGTCCGTGTTTTCTTGCCAATGGGTCCTAAAAGCTGGGATTTTTTTAAGTAAATGAAATAAATTTTTTAAAACCCTGTTTTCTTACATGCATATCAAGTTGTTATAATACAAGGAAATCTGGTATTCTACCTAAGATAATAATCATACAAAATAATATGAAGGATTGTGTTAAATTGAGATTAGATAGAAAAAAGTTAAAAAAATACTGATAAGCTATTAGTCAATTAGACTAAACAAAAATTGTTTGTGAAAAAAAATTGGATTCGTTTTATCCGACTTTTTAAGCTCTTAAATACGATTTTCATACCAAACATAAAATAGATGTTTTTTCGATTTGATAACCAATTTTTTCTTATCCGTGCAGTGTTCGACTTAAAAATTTGAATTTTCCAATATTCTTGGTATTACGGCCACGAAAATCTGCTTCTGTTCTTTGAGTGTATATGGAAGACTTTTGGTTTTTATGCCATCATAAGTGGGAAAAATAAGGATGAAAACAACAAAACCTCTCAAATGTTTTATGTTATATTTCAGATTCAGATTTATTTGAGGAGGTAATGGTTTGTACCGTCACGTGGCGGAAAGTTATCACGAATTTTGTGATTTTCGAAAAATATCGAACGCATTTGGAAGGGAAGACGTTTGATACAAAAAACTTTTCCCCGCTTTTTCATCTCAATCAGATCTTAGATAAAAAGAATAATTATTAAAATTATTAGTAAGTCAATAATGAATACTACATACATTTATGGATTAACATTATAATAATGTTGAAATATGTGGAAAAAACATATTTTAACAGGTATCACAAAAATAAGTTTAATTAAAATCTGTGGTCCCACGTCCGTAGCCTCTCTCTGTAAGATTACAAAAAATATTTATTTATTTATTTGAAAATATTTATTGATACTTTTTTCTCTTTATGATTTTTGTTAACAACGTATGTAATTGTCGATAGTTTAAGTTAGTTTCTCGTGAAAATATCACAGTAAATACTAACAGCAACTATCTAGATCGATATCTTCATAGTTTTAGATTCTATCATAGAGATTAGGATGTTCCCAAAAATGAAAGCTTTTGAGAAATTTAACAGTAAGGAAATATTACTATTACGGAATCGGCTATTTTTGGCAGGTCGTTCATGTAAATAGCAAACAATAATAGGCCCCAAAATAAATCAAGTTTAAATACGTAACTGTGATACGATTAATAGTGAAGATAGCAATAATTTTGCATTAATAATTTAGTAAAGCCGATAAAATCTATATTTTAGTTGCTAGTATACGAAAAAGTAAAATGTATCTTAAATAATTTTATCTTAAAAATTTATCTCATAAATTATTTGTTATGATAAGTTAATCTGTTAATTCATATTATTCCTTCAAAATATTTAATTTTTGCTATAAGTATACCGATTTTATTAAGTTAAAACACAGACTGTTCTGAATATTAAATTGATTTTTTAAAATCATATTTAAGCTTGCTTTGAACAAATTAATTCTTCTGAAAATGTACGATTTCTCTTTTGTAATATGGTTTAATTAAGACAAAGCAAACGATCTTAAATATTTACACTAACAACCGATTATTTTATAAGTTAAATTGGTATTTGTTGTACTAGCCCAAAATATGAGCAATTACACTCATTAGGGAAGTACACCTCGGTTTTTCATGCAAATGCACGCATCAACCCTTGTCCTTATAAAATCCTAAAAGAAGTTACCCTGAAAAAATTCTCATAATATCGGATAGCCAAGCAGTTACTAAAGCATTACCATGTAAAAAATTAGTCTGTGAATGCACCCAAAATCTCCAAATCTGGGGGAAGACAACATGATGATATCTTGGAAAAAAAAAGGAATTTGGGTATTGAAAAGGCAGACACGCTATTCTGAGGAGGATCTGTAAGACCATTTATAGGCCTTGAACCTATTCCTAGGATAACAAAAACAAACATAGAATCCTCCATCATAGAATGGATCCAAAAATGGCAAAAGGAGAAATGGGTGAACTCTAGATGTGCTAGGCACTTATATTAAAACAACCTTCACCAAGCCTGTCACTGCTTGAGAGGGCTAAATTCAGAGGAATGGTAAGACTATATACTGGCCACTGGCATCTGAGAAAACGTGTACACATTATGGATATATTCAACGATCCAATTTGAAAGTTATGCAATGAGGAGGTAGAAACAACCATTCATATCAACTTTGAATGTGATGCAGAACGGAGACAACCTATAATAGAAAAAACACGCAGTGATAGGAATTGTAACAACAACAGTCATTGGCCTTGTACTTACTTCTCAGGAAAAGGATTGCAATGAACTAAGGAATGTAATAAAACTAAAATTAATGCTCACAAGGGGCTATAGGTGCACAGATATTCTCATACATTAACACACCCAAGCAGAACTTTAGAGCTTCAACTCAAACCTGGTATGGGAATGCCTAAATTACCTGTAAATCTTAAGAAAACGCTAAAACATAACGCTGAGGAGAGTACCAGGACACAGGGGGATTAATAGCAATGAACAGGCAATGAAAGGCAGTCTTCTCAGCAATCGGACCAGAAGCGCCAGATCATATTTGATAGATCCCAAAGCATGGTAAAAGAAGCATGTAACCGGAACTGAACAAATAGTTAGAAAAAGAAATGGCATTGGATAATCACCAGAAGCATACAATCTAAGTAGTATTAACCAGAAAAACAAAAATCTACTTCTCTCTCAGCAATTAAAGAAAATAATAGATTTTTATACTAGCCATTACCCATTTAATTACCTTCCACTTTAAGACATGGGAAAAACTATGTCCAAATTCTGCAGACCCTGTCATTAAACAGTCTTATGACATTCTAAAGCGTCACACCTGTAACAATTGGAAAATACTTTTCTAAATTCTTGTTTGGTAATTAACGGCTCAGGATTTCCAAAAAGCTGTTAATATAAGTACAAAAAAGTGATGCTTTAGGAAGAAAAGGCTTTCTTCTATTTTTTATCAGTTATTTAATCGCATCGTATGTTATTTTACTTAAATAATCGTAAGTTACAACATTATTCATCAGTCGTTTAACTGATCAGACAATCAGGATCAATTTCAACTTAATAATAAAGGATATCGTCGGTGGAAAGGTTCACGTCACTCTGCCTGCAAAAACGGCCAATGTTCAGTTCTTTGAATATAACAAGCATTCACTTCAAAATTATATGTTGCTCTTAAGAACGAAAAATCTTGTGTTTGCTTTTTGGTAAGAGTAGAAATTAAAATAATAACAATAGTATTAACAATGTTATTTTAATGGCAAAACGATTGTTATTATATCTGTTGTTCATAGCATGTTTTTTTAAACATTCAATTACTTTAAAAAATGGAAGGTTGAATCTATCTATCTATCTATTGGAGATTATCCATTCAACATGCTAAAATAAACGGAATATCATTGATTTATATAAATTCAAATCTGCGCACAGATGTACACACATGGTAGTCCTCGAGAATCACCCACCCTGGGTGTTGGCAGTTCGGGTCAGACCTCGGTCTTACCCGTCCAGCCTCCGATATTGGTCTCCAGAGGCTATCAACAGCTAGGTAATTTCATCCCCCAACGGGATCAGTTTCTAAATTCAATCCCATTCGCACTCTTAAATACATACTTTCTTATTTACATACCATTCACTCGGTTAAGGTGGTGGAGTCCTCGATATTCCTTCATCACCCTTCACACCTATAAAATTAACCTTATTAAGAGTTGATGATGACTCAATATCCAGCAATCAACCCTCTCACACTCCAATTTACGGTAATAAATACATTTACTCTAGGGACACAAAAATATTACTAGATATAATAAAACAACTGTTTACTGCTACAATCGGTCAGAAGACCAGATACTCGTTGCCGTGCTCAAGCACAATTCTCATGTCGCGTGGCATTCATACGTGCTCTTTGTATGAAGCTATGATTAGGTGGGATACATCAAGCAACCTTTCTGTTTATGTCGGATAAATACGCGGATTTTGGCTCCCAAAGTAAGTGTCCGTGTGACAACCTCGCGTGACCTATCAACTGGATGAGGATGACCCTTATTTTGCGAGTCAGATCCTCCGAGGGCCACTTGTAGATAGTGCTCCTGATACTCCCTGCCGATCTGGCCCATCTATGCAGCCACATTCCTTTAATTATTTTTAGGGTCAAAGGGCCGGATCGCTGTGGTTAAGTTGGAAGTTGGGAGGTCCCGACCTCAGTCGCATTGCCGTCTTTCGTTACCCTCCTATTTCTTAAAACGATAATAAATAAATTTAGAAAAAATAATGCAATTTCTTCCAAGGATCTCAATCGAAGAGTTTATTACACTTTTATTACAAATAAACAGGAGATATTTAAATAAAAATGTTCCTAACACTTCTTCTGTTTTTATTATATATGGTAATTTTAGTTATAATTAATTAGGTCGATCCACTCGGACACCAACTTCTCATCTCAACCGCACCTTTTTGAATTACCAGTTGAGATGGGAAGTTGGTGTCCGAGTGGCTCGAGGTCACGATAGCTCAAGTGGTAGAGCAGCGGCGTATCAAGCCGAAGATCGTGGGTTCGAATCCCGCTCGTGCCATTGACTTTTTTATCTCAACTAAAAACCTTAAATAATTATAATATATTAATTGGTCAAGCGGACCACGAAATTAGTGAATTGGTAATTTTAGTTTTAATTGGTTTCTAGGTGGGACGAAATGTAACACATGTTATGCAAGAAAAATCGAAAGGTCATAAATCACTTGCCATATATATTCAACAATTTCCATTGATTGAAACGTTATCAGATAGCCGGCGACTCGTGATTGACTGGACTTATTCCAGCCCTGTCATTCTTTCCGACGCCTCTGTGAAACGCCCCTCGGACAAAATGGAACGGCAGCTTTTTTCACTTATGAAAGACTTAAACCGTTTAACAAGGCCCAGTTTTTCACTTGTCTATCTAACTCGGGAATGTTGTGAAATGACACTGGTTCTGTAACGAGAACTGAAATTCTCCTGTCAAGTCGTACCACGTTCGTCTCGGGCTGCTAGTTTTAGTCAATTGTTTCGACTGTCCTAGGTAAAAATTTTTTAAATTAACTTATTGATTTTACGGACGCAAATTGTTGTTTGTAGAATACTTGCGCAAGAACTATTAACTAATTGTGTTCGAGATTGCATTTCTCCTTTCATACAGGTATAACGAACATGCGATAAACATGTTGGCTTCAACAAGGCTACAATTTCTTTTCCAATACCATTAATGTCAACTAATACCAATAAATTAGTGCCAACCTAACAGGACGGGAATTGTTTGGATGTTTAAGGAATCATAAAAATGCTAAGAAACGATGAGGTGTGTGTGTAAAATAAGAGATAGAAAAAACTAGAAGAATGAGTGTATGAGCGATATGAGCGAGAAAGAGAGTAAGGATATATATATATATATATATATATATATATAGAGAGAGAGAGAGAGGATTAAACAGATAGACACAGAGATAGATAGAATCATAGATAAATAGATAGATAGTGTGTGTGAGAGAGAGAGAGAGAGAGAGAGAGAGAGAGAGAGAGAGAAGAAGAGAGAGAGTGAGAAAGAGAGTGAGAGGAGGAAGGGAGTGAATGAGAGAGAGAGAGAGACAGAGTGTGAGAGATACATAGATAGATAGTGAGAGAATGAGAGAGAGTGAGAGAGATTGGGGTGGACGTTTGAAAATAGGTAACTTTGCAGAACAAATATTTATTCTTTCGTAACGTAAAAAAAACCTTAAGTAAATACAATCTTCTTCATTACCATAATGTAGCAATGTGTAACATCGCCTATCAGTTCGTAAACATGAACAAGCTCAATAATTAAGCTTGAATACAATCAAACTGGAAAAAGTCGTAAAATTTAATTAACCTGTTCAACTAAGTAATGAAAACTAATTAAACTAAACGTTATTAAACAAAATTTGAAAATAGGTCAGATCCAGTTTTTATGCGAAACTCCTTATACAGTGCCATCACGAACTGTGCAAATGTAAATATTTACATTTATTCTATGACCCGTACTGAATAAACTCACCGGCATAAATAAACAAACGAAAAAAGAAATAAAATCAACTTGAGTTAAACTTGGCAATTTTCAGGAAATCATAAAAGACCGATTTTTTACAAAAGAAAAATACAAGAATAATTCAGAAACGGCCCTTCTTCAAAGAGCTCGACCCTGACAAAAAGTCAACCAACCCTTTCAAATGAGAAAAGAAGGATATCGGCTGGAAAACGGTCCACTGGCTAACAACACTATAACACGAGAGAATAAGCGGACCGGATATCCTATTTACCGGTCCCCTGGCAATAATGTATTTTCCCCTTGGAAAACAAAAGATCCGCTAATCCAGATAGAAAATACCGTACAAACCATCATACTTTATTCGTTTTTTTATCAGAATCTTTTTATACGAAAATATTACAATAATGACAAGCCTTGCCGGACATCCTGATTGAAATAGTTATCCCACACTTTTTCCAGTATTTTACGATACTGTTAGGTTTCTTTTAATGACTATATTTCCACTATTTTCTAAAAAATAAGTAAAATATTAAGTATTGCACTTATAAATATTGCTGATTCATGAAACATTGACTTTTCGTGAGATAATGTTATTAAGCACAGTGTGGAGGCTTGCGGAAAATGTATATACGTCTATGCGGTCATGGTTTAGCCATGGTAGGTTATCCAAATGTTTAATCTAGAATCAAGAAGAACTTGCATGTGAAGGGTTGCAAACTATAATCCAAAGTATTATAAGAGAGGGAATAAAAGGTTTTAAGCCCGATTGTACTCAAAACACAAACGAAGTTCCCGAGGAAAAAACAAACAAACAATTACGTCAAGAAGCCTGGAAGTCGTGGACTACTCCTTTTTGAACATTTGCAAACTCTCCCTTTCTTGTGACACTCCCTCCCGGGGTTGTTCCATTACGTAATTTGCCCCTTCAAGTCATCCAGCCCATAGTATATAAAGTCGTACCGCTGGAAAACAAAGTAACCAGAACGAATTGTAACTTCGTATCAACCGACTCGAGAAAATGAAGTGCTTTGTAAGTAAACGCCACGATAAAAATCATTATTTAATTATTTATAATTGAATAATCATATAATGTTAAACTTAAGGATACTAAAACCAACATAATTCAGAAAACTCTCAGTCAATTAGTTTTACATTCCAATTTAACCCTGTTCCCAATTCAGATTATTTGATTATGAAAAAAGAAGTTTTTTTAAAGAGAAAATTAAAATGATCCAATAAGTCCATAGGGAGGATATTATACTGAAGCCACTCCTGAGGGTGTTTCCGACAAAATTTTCCTTATTTCACTCTCAACACGTTACGCAAGAATGGCACAATTACACAGAAGACAAACACTTTGAGCCCTGAAGATGATCTCAAGAAAGATCTAAACGTTTGCACGATAAAGAAAATGTTTTTCTGAAACCTACATCACACCAGACCGCATCTCACGATTTCTGAATAATTATCGATTAACGGTCACTAATCACCAAACATTTCTAAACGGATTTATATTTTGAAGTACAATTAAAATTTAGAACAGAACTTAAATTTTTTAACATACACGTATGTATATATTGATTCCATATTTACAGGTAGTTTCTGTCCAGGTTCTAACTAGAGATGTTGCATGCTTTTATATTAATGGTGCCATTTGAGGAAAAGTTTACGACTGTTTAAAGAATGTGACGTTACTTAGCCTAACTTTGGTTAAAAATTAAATGATTAAATTTATATTATATTACAGCCCCGTCAGCATGTTTGTCGCTGTGTGAAGTTCCAATAAGCATGAAAATCAGGGTCTGCCACAAGCCTCAGATAGTAGAAACTTATTCTGCACAAAATGCACCAGGACGACATTAGTACAAATAAACAAAAAACGACACGAACACTCAAATATAATTAAACAGATTTTCATCAGATTTTATTGATCGGATGTCTTCTTGTGGTCTACTTTGTTTTTGTTTGGAGTCTTAAAATTGAATAATTCGAAAGCAAGGTTCAAAATTTAACAGTGAAAGTCAAATCAGAAAGAAGGAACAATTTGACAAAATCTGGTCTAATTGTTGTTAAATAATAACTACCTTGAACTTTTCACTTAGCGCAAATATATACTAACATGATTATTGAAAGAAGTCAGAAAGTGCATAACAGGTAAAAAAATTTCATATCATACAGAAGGGCGGCTGTAGATCCAACAAATTCGCTGCGCCTTTTACTTACATTTTACAATTTAAAAAATCTATGCCTTGATTCGAACCCAGGCGTGACAAATAAGTCCCCCTATTTGTATTAGAAAGGATTTTCCACATTAGCACTTAAACTTTCGTCTACTTTGATAACTGTGTTATTGGATTATCTAGAAGTTTTGCGTTTGTTTTATGAAAAAATCTCTTCAGGGGTAATTGACATTTGTCAACTATTGATAATCCCATTTTTAAAGTGGTATATTGCTATCGCATGCCCTGGAAATAGACCAGTTAGAGTTTTTAACTCCTTTCTGTTGACTAGGATTTCCTTCTTCACCATCGTTTATGCCACAAAATAGATTTGGTTATTTATGTTGTTCCGCGGCTTATTTTTATAGCATATGTATCTGCTACTTCGTTGCAAGTAATTCTTTCATGACTTGGGACCCACTTTAGTATTAGGCTATTTGTTCTAATTGTTTAGGGCATTTAGACAGTTCCAGGCAAGTTTTGAATAGATCTCGTGGGCTTGGAAAGTCTTTAGAACTGGCTATCTCTCTAAACGTATTATAATTTACAATTAATTAAGGTTTTTAGTTGAGATAAAAAAGTCAATGCCACGAGCGGGATTCGAACCCACGATCTTCGGCTTGATACGCCGCTGCTCTACCACTTGAGCTATCGTGACGTCGATCCACTCGGACACCAACTTCCCATCTCAACCGCACCTTATGAATTTTCCCTCCTTTTTTTAATCCAATCCGATTACACGACATTTGAAAAATGGCAAAAAGGCTTGGAATCGTTGCTTTGCTCGTTAATGTTTTTCTATTATGTAGAAGTTTTGGTCACAAGGCATGTATGAATGTCCTAGAATTAAAAATGTTAATTCGATCGTTTCTAATTTCTAACTCTCCCCACAACAAATTGTTCATGATACGTACATTACGCAACCATGCAGTATGTTTTTTGGCCTGCACAGTTATGGCACTAGATCTGTGCCTCTTAACTGTGAACTCTGATATTAGAAATTTGAAGCGCTTGATGCCACTTCATTCCTACCCCGCACAGCAATCTGTATGAACTCCTACTTGTTTCTCCCCAACACTGATTCGCAAGTTGTAGTTATATAAATATATTATATATATATACATATTTATAGCAGATATAAAGCTGTTTGCAGTAGAACATAAAGGAGTGAGTCAATAATTAATCTGAAGACCTACACTTACTGTGTTTATTGGATATAAATCCATAGATAAGCATCTATGCCAAAGCGCGGGTACGCGCTTTAATCTAAGAAACGTACAGAAAAGCATTTTTCTACGCCATCGGCGTTGGTTTGGACTTAAAGATCCATGAAAAAATGTAAAACTTGTACATAAGTGCTTCCCATAATTATAATTTATTCATAAAACAGTAGGTGAAAAAGTAAAATTTCATAATTTGTTCGAAACCATAAGTAAATGTATTACTATAAAAGGTTATAAAGTTTAAAAAGGGCTAGAATTTGTGTAATGAAGAAATATTTGTTGTTATTTGAAATGAAATGTTAGATTAAAAGCTTTTACTGATGGGAATTACAATATACACGTTATTAAACAAATAATTGGATTATGTAGGCCTCTAAAAGACGAATGCTCAGTAACATTTCTGATTTGTTCATTAATACCAAGGATAAAGAAAAGAAACAGCGGACGAAATAGTACAAGATTCGACACAGCCGACCTCCCACATTTCATGGTTGAACACTATTTGCTGGTCGCGTTTACTTTTTGTTTAAACAGTTCAGGCAGTTTAAAACTGACGACATTTTAAGCAAATTGTGTTCTTAAGTATGTTTTACTTTTCGTTCAACATCAATTGTAACAATCTGCTATATATATTTTGTTATCTCATGCCTTTACCATTATTCGTAATGTCTGGGCTATGCTCTCTCTTTCTCTCTCTCTTTCTTTCTCTCTCTCTCTCTCTTTCTCTATCTATCTATCTATCTATCTATCTATCTATCTATCTTTCTTCAAGAATTTAAAGCAGTCAAATTAAGCCCAAAGTTGAAAATTTGAGTCTCAAACGATATTTCTCTCTCTCTCTCTCTCTCTCTCTCTCTATATATATATATATATANATATATAATTAATTATTGTTATCGGAAAAATTGATACTTTATGATATATTTCGTTAGTTTTCTAAAGTAGCAATTTTTCCGATAACAATTATTAATAAACTTGTGGTTTCACCGATTAGCTAGATAAATATCCCGGCTTTGCTCCCTCAGACTATCACCTCTTCATGCAATGACCCTCTTCTTTAAAGAAAAAGTCTCACACATTGAAGGAATCGAAGATATCTGATCCAAAGGGTAGTACGCCTGGTAAAAGAGCAATTCAAGTGGCTTTTTAACTCTCTATGTGAAAAGCTTGACGTTTGTTAACCTTGTAAATTATACAGTTTCCAAAATCTTTATCTAATCTTCAAAAACTCGAAGAAAGACAATTATTTTTTCTTTTCTTTCAAATTGACTTTATGACATATTGATGATCAATTATATCAATAGTATATATATATATATATATATATATATATATATATATCAATGTGATACTTTCCGTGCATAGCATGTATAAAAATGTTTTATGACAAACAGATATGTGTTTATTATATATTACGTTTTGCGTCTTTTTCCTACGTTGTTTTATACGTATCATCGTGATAGTGATTTTGATTATTGGCATAGCATCTGAATTTTTTTCTTGTGTCCTTTGATAATTTGAATCAAGTTTGTTAAAGTGCTGGGATGTGATTTTACTTAATCCACGACAAATGTTAGTTGTTTAATATAGGTTTGTTTTATTGTGTAATTATCGTTTTGTCTTATAAATTTAATTTGCTAATTTTCTAATATTGCATACTTCAAATTGTTTCAGGTGATTTTTGCCTTGGCTTTGGCCGCAGTGTGCGCAGCCCCTGTTGAAGAATCTACTAAGACAAAGAGGGGAATTTTCGGTGGAGTGAGCGTGGGCCATAGCTACGTCACAGCTCATGCACCAGTATACCACGCACCTTTGGCCCTCCATGCACCACTGGTAGCACACGCACCACTCCTCTCGGCACCACTTGTCACCAAGACAGTCGTACCGCACTATCGTCTGACTGTACCAACGCATTTTACTTACAGTCACGCACCACTCGCACTCGGACACTCTTTCTGGTGAAAACTATGGGATTCATAATTAATCTTCATCTTTTTCATTTATATAACATCATAGTATACATCATTTGTGAATGATAACAAAACCAATGGACAATACCTTTAACGAAATAAAAAGTTTTATTTTGTAACTAATGTTTTTTATAATATTCTCCCATTTAAACGGCACTGGAAACAAAATCTATGAGAATACAAGAAAATTTATATGATAATTAGCAATTTATAAAAATTGTCCAATATATCACTATAACTATAGACTATATAAATACCTACGAAAGGGTTGAGAATTGGATTGTTTTCATAAGAACTATTTTGTTGCATTTGAGGTATAGGTTTGAGGTGTGCACCTGACGATCTTTGTCGTAAGAGTAGGGAATCACCCTGTATTTACTTAAGAAATTAAAATTTATTTGCACGTAAACCTTAAGAACAGATATACTATTTTGTTCCGGAAATAAAAGTGAATAGAAAGTTTTTTGAATGTCGAGCTGTTTGTCATCATATTAGGTTTGGATAAATGCAGGTTTGGAAAATTTGTTTTATTTTCGCAGGTGCTTGTCATGTAAACAAAGCAAAATCCTCAATCTAATTTATGGATTATAACAATTCGTTTAACTGTTACCTGTTATATAAAACATTTTAGTTTATGTTGAATTTTATAAGAGTGGGACCTGAGAAAATAAATATGTCCAAACTAGATTTTCGTCAAATTTATTTATACGAATTTAAACTTAGGCGAAGTACGGCAAAACCGCGCCTAACATTTAGGGAGTGGTAACAGTTTAGGGAATGGTAAGCATGAGTGAATGCACGGTGCAGGGTTTCAGATATTTCGTCTTCCAGATTTCTATCTCAGCCAGGGAAGGTGCGGTAGGCCTTCCGTTGTGGACGACGACCAACTCAAAACGTTGTTGAAAAAAAATCACGTAAGACAACACGAAAAATTACGGAAGAGCTTAGTGTTGACAACACTAACAACTCAACAATTTTTCGGCATATTGAGAAAATTGGTAAACTAAAGAAGCGAGACAAGAGGGTACCACACACTAACTAACCGGAGCCCAAAGAAATCGACCCTTTGAAATGTGCACGTCTCTTCTCTTACGCCACCGAAATGATCCATTTCTCGATCGAATCATCGCAATGAGAAATGGATTTTGTATAGAACGGGAGGCGTACAGGTCAGTGGTTAGACAAGGATGAAGCGCCAAACCAATCCGCACCAAAAAACGTTATAATGACTGTTTGGTGGTGTACTGCTGAGATTGTTCATTATCATTTCCTGAATTTTGTTGAAATTATCACAGCTGAGAAATATTGTCAAGAAATTAACACAATGCACTGGAAACTGCAATGTCTTTGTCCAGCATTGTTAAACCGTAAGGGGCCGATTCTTCTTCACAATAACACCAGGCCACATGCTGCAATGTCTACCCTACGGAAGCTTACGAACTTAGGATATGAAACCTTACGGCATTCTCCTATTCATCCGACCTCTCGTCTACAGACTTTCACTTTTATAGGCATTTTGATCACTTCTTAAAGGATAAATTTTTTTATAGAACGCGGTGCAATCAAAAACGCTTTCCAAGACTTTATTGTGACTCGAAATAAAGATTTTTGTGACAGCGGAATAAAAGCGTTTAGCAAAGATGTATTGATTGTGTTGGAAAATATTTCGAATAAATTTTCTTTATTTTATAAAAATTAAAAATAGTTTTGATTACCTTTTCAAAAACCTGCATTATTTTTGTACCAGATCAATATAATCACCTTCGTCAGAGATATTCAATCATTTTAATATAAAATTTTTAATATCGATTGTAAAAAGCTTAACCATTTTAGCAAGGCTTAAAAAGTAACAAATCTCTAAACAGATTCAAATGAAAAATTGATCTCAAATAAATTATATACTAACACCTGCATTATTACAAGTATATATAAGTTACGCCTGCACAAAACTATTAATTCAGCGACAAATGATATTACCCCTGTACAAATTCAAAGAATGTATTGATTGTGTTGGAAAATATTTCGAATAAATTTTCTTCTTGCTTATTAAAATAAGCATATGTAAGCAAAAGACCCTTCCCTGTTCACTATTCCATTATACTTGTAATGACACTCAGATTAATCATATCTGTGTACAGGAAAGGTTCTTCTCAAATTGTAAGTGTGTTTAACTAATAAAGTTCTTTTTAAAAAGACTCTTGTTTAGTCAACACACGTAACTTATACATATACTTTTCCTAAATGTAGACTAAATAATGCCAATTCAAAGAATGATAGTAAAGATAACAATTTTTATCAGCCTTATTAATAAAATTTTGAAGAATCATACAGAAAATATAAACGACATACCTAACATGTTGTAATCTTGCTGTGCGCGGCCAGAAGTACTGTTGATCAAACTGGTTACGACAGTTTATTCTTTCTCCCTACCATTTATCAATATTTTATTTATATTTCAATTATTTTAAAGAACAAAGCTTTGTTAAGTATTATTATGAGGTGAAAATTTGGTAATATAATTATTTTCTGAAAAGACCAGCTGTAAGAGCGGCATTTAAACAAAACATAAAACGATGTCGTTGCCTAACCAGGTGGCAACTCTCAATTCTCTTCTGCAATTTGTTAAACCCTGTCCGTTTCAACAATGCGCCCCCCTGTTGCAGAAAGTAAACTACCGTTTAAATCAAATGCCTTTCGCTACATGCACGACGGACCGGTCTTTTCTTACACGTTTAACTGTACATGCTGCATGTAAAGAACGTAGTTTGAAATAGCGGCATAAAATATTGCAAGGCGTACGCAAGTTGTAGCCCGTCAATGAACCCTGGTCTAAGAGTAGTAGTAGCGAGAATAAACGGCCCAATTACCTAACTGCTCACCATTTAAGAAGTATTTGTAGTATGAAACTCTTTCTCCTTTTATCCTGTGTTGATGTTGAATTCATCATTGGAGTATTGAAAAGGTTGTGAAGTTCAATACATTACATGAAGTATTTGTACATTTATGAAACATTGGATGATATTTAAAAACGTATAATTATCACTAATCTATTTAATTAACAAATTAACCCAACCCAATAAATTAATAATTACAAAATATTGAAAAATTAATACAAATTTATTGTATATATATTAATTTTTAATGGTTTTAATAATTGCTGAGGTGAAACTGTAATTTACGGATTTTGGCTGGAGAACTCTGAATGATGACAAATGAATGACACACAACGTATTAGGTGGGAGCGATACGCAACGGCAAATGCAACAAGGGCACATACAGCTTTAGGTTCCAGGCAAAATACAATTACCCTTTTTAACATCTTGGTGATGGTAAAAATGCCATTCTATTAGGAAATGTGTTGAAGGAACAAAATCTGTAACATGCAATCTATGTGTTATAAGCTGGGAAAGGCAATACGTTTATTCATTATATTTCTGCTAGTTTTTCTCTTCCAGTCGCGAATGATAGGAACATCTTACTAAAATTACAACATAGGCACTCTTTGATAAAACACACACACACATACAAATTACAAAGGTTAACTACAAATTTGCATTATCAGAAAAGTTGTATTTGTTTACACCGATAGTTACGTCACAATAAAATTTTTAACCCCCGATCAAAATAATAATTTTCCGATGATTACTGAAGTGAAAGAGTTAATTGGAACTGTGATGTCTTTGGAAATTGAAGGGATAAAGGGCATATAAATATTGAAGAGAATCGGGAAATAGCTGGATAATCCACACCCTGTATAAAAACTTTATTTTAACCATTTAAGATTTCGTTAATTTTCTCCAAATTAGTCAATCCGGTATTTTTTTTCAAGGATGTTTTTTTATGTTCTCTTGTAATATAATTCATCATTCATAAATCATGTAATTAATCGCCGGGGAATTTACTAATTCTGGTTAACGTCGAAGGAAAAACCGCAACCTGTTATTCTGGAAGCACATTCGACTTTTGGTTTATTTCAAGAGAATTCTATTGTCAGATTGTTTTTGGAAATTTAACCGAAATCTGTATCAAATTTTAGGCGTTTGTTGTTTGTTTTTGCTCTCTTTTAGTTACCAAATTTATTATTGATTTTTTCAGTAATCAAAAATGTTTTAACTTTGCAATATTTTTCAAACATGTAAAAATATGAATAATAAAATTAGAACCATTGTACCACGGAGATATGATCTCCCTATCTGATATCTATGGTCGTTAGTATACAATATAGAAGAAGAATATACAATTGCATACAAATCCGGTCTCTACTTATTAGCATTAATTAAGCATACAGATGTAGCACTAAAGATTTTTTATTACTAAACTAGAATGTTTGGTATTTTTCATTTATTTGAAAATGATTCATCCAATAAAATCTTTAAAGTTAATCTGATTTTTTTGCTTTATTATTTGGACCTTCCAAACACACACACATATGATACTGCACTAAATCTTGTCACACGGGTGAAAATAATGACCAACTGGTAGAAAAATGGCACAAGAAATCCAGTTATAGACGCAATTGCATGAGAAGCTTTTTTGTATTGACTCATTAATATATTCGGTGGACGCACTTAGACAGAGTCAAAAATTTCACCCACGTATTTCTCAATTAATTCAGCCGTTACAGTATCTGAATATTTATGCGGATTGACAAACCAATTACGTCGCCCTATCTTGAAATTTCTCCCGTTCCCCTTTTAAAAGTTTCCGCTCCTCGAGGAAGAAAAGCTAACCCCTGGGCCTCTGGACATATTGTTACTGTCACGTCGAGATAGGAAGCACCGTTTCGGTATAATTATGCTTTCCTGACGCGCGGTGCAGACGGAAAGTCTTTCCAGCCGAAAATGAATAGTCCTTTTTCGACTGGACAAAGCCGACCGGGAATACAATTGCTACACGTAATAGTGGAATAGTTGTGCAATCCTAGGGTTCCAATTCGATGTTCAATAAACTATATGATGAAAATAGCCAATGCCATAAAACGTAAAAATCATCGATGATCAACGAAAAGCAAATAAAAATTGATTTATACCTTTGAGGAACATGAATAAAAATAAAAAATGATTTTTTTAAAGAATAGTTTGGAATAATAATGCTGGTAGAACAAGTAATAAGGGCTATTTTGAGACATAATAAAAACATTCATAATAAAACTAATAAGTAAATTATATTTTACTATCTCAGAGAAATTACGAATTATTTGTATGGAGGCCAGGTCCATTGCCTCGGAGGTGGCTGGCTTGCAAGCGGCTCCCAGGCTTTCCAGCCCAGGAAATTTCTAGCGAGCTTGAGTTCGTTTTCTGCCTGCACGATGATCTCTTCAACTTGACCGCAACCGATTTTCTCCTCAATCTCGCACGGATCTTCCGCTTTGGTTACGATCGACATTCTGTGTGAGATTAGTTCCTCGGTGTACTTCCTGTAAGCAGCATCGTCGGGCATCTTCGCCAAGACCCGGAGTATTTTACCGTACAACGTTAAAAGCGTATGCCTTGGGTTTGCAGAAACCGCGAGCCCCGTTAAGCCAGTCGTTTTCTTCCACATTATTATAAATAAAACTAACTTTATTTTGTTGATACGATTATCTTATCTTACTTAAATCAGCTGTTTTCTCTCATGCTGCTCATTTAATGTGCTCCTGCCACGTTCAACAAACTTCCCTCCATTCATTGTGTACTGGTAGAGCCAAAAAGTTTCTAAATACTTTTAAAATTTAATTATTATTTCTATGTAAGACTTACTTACACAAAATAGTTTGTTTATTATTATTATTATTTTTTAGTAATGAAATATTATACTCAAAATAATATTGAACAATACAGAGCTTTGCTATTGTAGCAAAATAAAAATAAGATGCAATACAATAAGAAACCTTATTATTGTATATTATATTTGAAAAATATGGCTTACAGGGAGATACTCGCGGCCCTAAGGTTAACACATCGGGGAGTGGGAAACTTCAACTTTCGGGGAGGGAAAGTTCAAAAAGAAACTACCTCTTCGCAAACGTTCTATGGACAATAATTGTGATATGTTAAGAATAATAGGTTTTAGGTAAAAAGGTTGGTGTTGGGTTTATCACTGCTCAATTGAACCTAAACCGATTGAATTACTTCAAGAATTAGTTCTGTTCTATATAATTAAATTATTAAGGAAGTTAATAAAAAAAATAAAATTGTAATAGATATTTTTTATTTCTGAACAAAGAGTTTCAAAACAAATTCATCATACGAGTACTGTGTAAGGTGCAGCTGCAACGGGAGCTGCGACGTAGGGGGAGGTATAGTATCTCGCTGCAAAACCGGGGGCGCCGACTACCCTGGAAGCACGTGCTACGACTGGATTTGGTGCGGCAACGTAAGGAGCAGCATAGTAAGGCGCGGCGGTATAATAAGCAGCATAGGGCGCAGCATAGGGCGCAGCATAGGCTGCAGCATAGTAAGGAGCTGCGACATAAGGTGCAGTAACAACTCCACGTTTGTCTCTTACGTTTTCACCGTTGGAGACAGTCAAGGCGACAAGGAGAAGGAAAGCGATCTACGAATCGTACTCATGTTAATTTAATGCGAATAACATACGAATGTTATATACTCACAGCAGATTTCATGGTTTTTTGGTGTGTTGTTCTTGTCCGTCGTGGGCAAACTGATGCCCGTTGGTCAGAGAAGAAATTCTTTTATACCCGGGCCATGTTACATATTAAACATGCATTGTCACGTATCGTCCTTGCCGTTCGGCCAACGTATCATCCTTACAACACCCACCAGGATTTACATCACTTTAAGCAGTTTGGAGTTGGAACCACCTTCGGCCTGAATATTTTCATCGTGAACGTTGTCTGAAAGTTGGGCAAGCTTCAACTACACGCCCAGAAGCACGCGAGTAAGAAAAAAGCAACATTTTTTTTTTAAATAAAAACGTTACGAACTTTAATCTTTATAGCACGCGGTTCAACCTTTAACATTTGTGATTATACAATTATTTTCAATAACATGAACGACCGGTTTAAATCCTATATATTAAAACGTAATGCGACCTGCTTAACGACAGAAACTTAATAACTTGTGCTGGAGCTCAATTTCAAATGGAAGAAAAAAACGTAATTTCGTAAGTAATAAATGTAAAAGTAATTAAATAATAACCTATATTTGTTAAATTTGCAATATTCCATTGACATTATTTCGATCCAATCAAAATTTTGGAAAGAAACATTCATATTTTCTTATGTTTGTTTACTTTTATTTAACTGTATACTGTCTAAGTTTGAAAAAATGTAGAATAATAATATATTATAACTTTTTCATCTCAACCAGGACATAATATAAAAAGAATAATTAATTGAAAGAAATAATTTGGTCGATTAGACTACTAAATATAATGCATATATTATAACATTATTATAATAAAAATATTTAATTGTTCTACGAACGTGGAATCACCAATTTAGCAAAATATGTTAAAATATGAACAAGAAACAAAGTCGATATTCATTTTCTGTACTCCGAAAAACTATCGATTATAAATTTTTCAGGAAATCGGATTTTTTTAAGTATGCCATCCAAATGGCTCTGAATTTTTGAAATTGGCAAACATGTTCTTTGAAATGACTCCATCCATCAACCGGACAATTTACAGAAATTTAGAATCTTATAAATTATACATAATGATCCTAAAGTCAGGTCCGTAAATTATAATTTCACATTTGCAGGTATAAAATAAAAAGATTGAAACGTTTTTGTTCATTTCATCCATATTTGTCTCACTTTCATTACATTATACAATTCATATAAATAACGAAATAATGCAGCTTTGCAACGGTTGTCATATCGTTGAAATTGCAAAAAATCCAGAGATGTTACATTATTCTTAAGTGGAACAATAGGACCAAAGATACAAAATCCAGCTGAAAGATGTATATTTCTCGTTTTCTTTTAAATTCGTATTTAAGGGAGTATATGAATTATATTTTTTAAATAAATATTTTTTAATCTATTTTAATGGAAGGAACCTTCTCGTTTTTGTAACTTTTCATACATCGAATCTCATTTAATATTTTCTTATTCTAAATTTAAAAACCAAGTGATATGTGAGAACCTTAAAATACATGCACAAGGAATGCAGAAAACCATTTTGTATTAAAAGTACTTTAATTAGCTAAAATATATTTTTTCCCATTGGCATGAACGCGTGGATAAGTGTTTGACCTAGTATCATCAAAAAGGTTTCATTCTAATCCCAATATTAAAATCCATTAAAGACTCTTGTTCGTGTCTAAACCCTAACTCTAAACCCTAAACTCATAAATTCATTATGGTTGTAACCATAATTTTTAATATTGTAAGTAGACGTTTAATATTATTTAATCGTAATCGTGAGAAATAGTTTCAAATTTCTGATGAAAATAATCCTCGGAAGCAAAGGAACTGAGTGTTTTTGTAAATTTGCATTTGCCCTAATTTTTTATACATAGGAAGCATAAATTTCTTTAAACTGGACAGTCCTTACATATTGAATAGAGAGAGAGGTCATTAGATAGAAGGTTTCTAAATGAAAAATTGTATATAAACCTAAAGCTCGTAAGTCTAATTTAAAAACGTACGCATTGGGACCTAATATGGTATATTGGGGTACTTCGAATTTCACGAAAAAGAGAGTCACTAATAGATAAATGGTACCTTGTAATCCTTTCGTATTGTCCGTTAGTGCCGATTAAATGTTTGCTTAAAAAAAGCAATTAGCCTACGTCTTCAGGCTGTTACACAGGTAAAGATATTACTTTAATTTATTATTAATTGATTTATTTAGATTTATTTTTTAAGGGGGTTCGCTATAGCAAAGGTCATATTAACCTCTGTTGGTGGCAGTGTTTTTGAAAAAAAGCCCATTTGTTCGTATGATTCAGGGCAGCTGAGATTCGAACTCGGACCCGTACAGTGATATAAGTTGATATGAGTTCGATGTAAGTAGTTTATCCTGAACATTATCACCGAGAAAAACATAATCTGTCACACATTAAAAAATTTATCTTCAAAACAACACCAAAAAGGGTGCATTCAAAAGAGATAATATATTTCCATTGTAATGGTAACCAGACGTTTATAGAGAACAACACAATGTTCGTCGTTATTCTCAAAACCTTCAACCGTACATTTACATGAGTAATTTTTCCTGCAAAACTTACTGCAAAGACAATCAAACCAAGATGAGACGACGTGGATTTGAAAAATCGCCAAAACTTTTAAATTACAAAAAACAGCCTATTATTTTCATAACATAAATTTACACTTCTTTATTTATTTGTTTTCAATTACCAATTGAATTTAAAGTAAACCAGATGTGATTCCATTAAACTGGAGCACATGACATTGCGAAAGAATATGGATTATTGCGAGGTGTTGACACATGAAAGATATGAGAGAATTATATGATTGCAATGCTCATATTCACATCTGGGCAGGTGTTACCTGCCGCTGTCGCTTTATTCAAAGAACGTCGGTGCCAATCATTAGGTGAAAACCGCCTGTTTCTATGCACGCGTTACATGCTGAAATAACCCTCGTTGTCTCGTTTTTCCTGAAGCTTTTCAAATTGCTACACGATGAGAGGGAGAAGGGAAATGACTAGATTTCTTTCACATCTTGACATGGTGTTTACCGATTCTCACTGGCATACATATTCAAAAACCTTCCTGTTTGAGTAACCTCGACGTTTTGAATATACCATATTTAACATGCTTAGATAATTTTACAACTGCTCGTATTGCGCATGTTCAGTTCTCTTATTGCACTGACTATACAAACATAACGTCCTTGTATCCTTTAGCCTAGGTTTTTTTTTGTTTTTTTCGTAACGAAATATACCGATTCGATTCGAAATACATGAACGACCAACTTGTAAGAGGATATAAGTATCTTGTTTACTATTTTTTTTCTCCATTCTCTCTCTCTCTCTCACTCTCACTCTCTCTCTCTCTCTCTCTCCTCTCTCTCCATATATATATATATATATATATATATATATCCTGGGGCAACCCCAAATCATGGGTCAAAAATTCAAGATCATATAGGAAATTCTGCTGAGCGCTGAGTAAAAAAAAACGTACTACCATCACACAACTGGAAACAACATTCATAATTATTCGAATGAAACTAAAACCAGCCTGATTGGTTGAAAATTATAATTTTCCTGATTTTTCAAAGTTAGGGGGTGGGGCACAAAAAATTCCCCTTTTGACATTTTTATTGATAAATTCAAAAGATGCTTACCCTACTAAAAAACGTTCCGAAACAAACCTAACTGTACCCTTCTTGAGCTGTGATATCTTTACACCTTTTACGTGAAGTCCAAACTATGCTCAGTTTCGGTAATTTGACGGAGAATTCCATCACTAAAAATTAAATTATTTAAGATGTTTTGTTTATGAATAACCTGTTTGTAAATTAACATACGTACTACTTAATTATTTATATTTCAACTATTTCAAGGAATAATTAATTACCTGGGAATTATTATAACAGTATCAAACAATTAAACAATATAAACACTTCCCATTACAGAAATTGTCAAATAAGATTTCAGGTCAAAAGCACACAATGTTTAGAGTTTCTTCGCTTGATTTTGTTAACTGCAAAAATTTGTTTCCTTTTGTTCGGTATTCTATGAAAAGTGAAATAGGTATACACATGCGTATAGTGGAGAGAGTGATATAAGAGAAAATTATTTAGATAGAAGGATAGATAGATGAAAATAATAGATAAATAGATAAGATAGAGACCAATGGAAAGGTAGGTAGATAAATGGATAGACATTATTGAAGGATGATATTAGGTATACATATGTAAAAAATGTAGAGTACCTGATAAAATGTTTAATTTTTATATAAGTACAACTTTTAGATATGTATGATCCTATGATATATATTTAGTGAACATATATGTAGATAGATAGAGAGTGATTGATACATCGATAGACTCATAAATAGATAGGTTGGTAGAAAGAATGATACATAGATAGATAAAAGACAGAAAGAAAAAGGGAGAGGGAGCGTGAGAGAGCGAATGATCGATTAAGAGAGAGAGAGAGAGAGAGAGAGAGAGAGAGAGTAAGTGAGTGATATGGAGAGAGAGAAAGAGTTTTAGGGAGAGAGAGAAAGAGAGTGAATGAAAAACAGAGTGAGTGAATGATATGTTAGACAGAGATAAATACAGATAGATAGAAAAGGGGAAGAGAAAGGGAGATAGGGAGAGAGAGAGAGGAGGATAGAATAAAGGGGGATGAGAGGAATAAATGGTTACTACATTTATTGACAACTTAACGTAAACGAAGAAAGAGAAAAGTGATCTCTTACGTCAGTAACGGACACTTTAGTATTAATACCATACGAAAAGCTAAAAAAGTATAAATCTAGTACACAATATATGGATTTCAGATGAATAAAATTAAAATAAAACATATTTTATTTTGTATATATTGTATTTTATCGTTAAAATTAAAGCATGTTTAAAATTATTATTTTGTACGAAAAAATAATTAAGATAAATGATTCTTTTGTTAGGATTTTCGTCAAAAAAGCCCAAAATAAAATAATAGCTTTACTTGACAAGAAGGATCGTCGATTTTAAGGAAACTTTCTTTGGTGATATGAAGTAGATCGAAAAATATACGTGCCCGATCGCTCTTACCGATAGATTCGAGAAACGTTAAATGATGCTTTAAAGAAAATATATTTTTATGGCGTAATTTACTGAAAAGTTTTTTGGTTACCAAAATGTCATTTAATACGATCCGATATATTATTTACTTATCCTGCGTAAAATAATTGGGTCATGTACAATACCCTTGAAATACATTCACCAAGTAATACTAAGCCCAGACTAATTGTTATAGCGAACCGTATTTTTTGAATTTCGTTCTTGAATTAGATCTCACTGAAAAAAGAAATGTGTTTTTGGCAAATACGCTTCAGAAAAAATAGTTTGTTTTATACCAAATTAATAATTTATATATGGTACATTTGCTGGGATAATACCTCTTTGAATGGGTGATCCACCAATCTATGAATATAAAACAACATTCAACAAAATATTTAAATAAAGTTATACATATAAATTAAAATGTTAGAGAAAGAAATGAGTGAAGAGAAAATCCGAATCTAATTCTAAATTCTCCAAATTTTAACTTATATGAGCTTTACTATAATATGATCTATAATTCTCAATGCACATCTAATTGAACAAAAATCTAGACCACTTGGTTTTCTTTAAACCCATATTTTTTTATATACTAGAGTCTCGTGGATTAGGGTTTATATACACGAGGCTCTATTATACACTATAGGCTGGTCGATCGCATAGAATATACTACCATATTTTTTTTTAACCAAGTTAAACTTTAAGGAAGTTCAGAATGATAATACGAACGATAGAGAACACCGGAAAAAGAAAATATTATCTTGCATTTTACGGTTTTGTAGAAATCACAATAGTTGTCACAACTATTATCACTCACTCATCGATACTGATACTCAGTCGGTCGGTACGATACCGGAACCGTTATTGTGCAACCGAAATCCAACTCGGACGTGTCCGAAGGTGGAAAACACACATTCTCCCAACAAGGAGGAGCTTCCACAGGGAAAGTGGAAAAATGCGTGGTGAATGGAACCGAGCCGAACAAAGCTTCTGTGTAAATTGAGCTCCGTAATGTTGCACGGGATAACGCGTTCTACCAAACCACCACCACCGACCTATATAAGACTCTGCAGGCCACCCCAAATCATCAGTCGTCTTTACCCTCCCAACATGAACATACTAAAGGTAAAAGAACAAGTGTGGATTATTTTTCGCGATGCATCGAAGATCAACTACGAGAGGCCGTGAACAGTGCATTTTAGTGTTTTATTTAGTTATTTATTTTTCAACTAATTGAGATATGATTTGTTTGTTGTAGGTGTTAAGTGATGTGTTGTAAAGTGACATAATTTAAAACATTTGATCAGAATTTTTCAAAATTCTTTTCAAAAAATTATTTGTACATACCATACTTGCTAAATAAGATTTTATTTACCCATATAATTTATTTAACTAGTGAAATAGGGTAAATTTAAACATTAGCAAATTCGTATTGCGAGCGTACTTTTAATACATACATTACATACATATATTTAAATAAATTACGAAAGCGAAGTTGGATTTGTAAAAGTTCATCTCAAAAAAGTAAATATATATTCTTAATACAAATTTTTGTTGTAGTGTTGCTTGGCGTTATCTGTATGCGCCATTGCTAAGGCGGGAATAAGACGGGACCTCGGCTTTGCTGGCGTCGGGTCTTTCCATGGATTTCCAGCGTCGAACCGATTCATCGGAAGATTTACGAATCAAGGAAACAGATTTTTCGACGGAGGGGCACAACCAGGAGTGTTCCACGTCGGAGCCCCTGGATACAGTAAAGGCGGCGTCGGTAACGGTTATCAGGAACAAGGCTTCGGCAATCATCAAGACATAGGTGCTTTCAATGAAGGCTTTCAAAACGCAATACTGACCCCGTTGTTGGTTCAGCCGGTAAAAGACGTTACATTTGACAACGGCTGGAAAGGGATTGAAACCGAACACGGGTCAATCGGAGAAGGACACGCCTTAGCCAACTCAGCTTTTGGAGGTGGTCCTCAAAGGGCTGTAATACCAGTACATGAAAATACAAACGATGTTTTACCAGATACGCCAAATCCTATTAAAATCAACCCAGGTTTTGTAGGATTTCAAGCACCCGATGTTGGACATTTTGGACAAGGTGCATTTAGAGGCGGTCATAAAGGCATAGCTGTACCAATCTTTGAGAATAACTTTCGACAGACTCATTCTCGACCTGCTGCACCTCTTTTCACACCGACATTTAACAAGGAACCAATTTTCTTTAACGTAAGACCTCATAGGTATCAATATCGGTTTCCCAACAACGCGCACTCTGGCCACAACGATTTCTCGCAAAATTGGCAGCTGGATAACAACGGTCATGGACATGCGTCCCAAAACAGTGTGCAGTATGGATCTTTTGGCAACCACGCCTCATCAGTCTCGAATCACAACGGTCACACGTCTGCAACAGGACGAGATCACGATGCCATCGATCATTCGGAAAACTTCGGCTCGTCCCACTCACAAGGAATCTCTACGCCCGATGTTCATCTCCAGTCTAGTCATGGTCATGAGGCTCATTCGACAGGGAACAGCATAGCCGATGGTCACGGGACAAATGGACATGGAGCTGGTCACGCCCAAGAAAAAGCGACTTCCTACCAGAGCTTCGTCATACACAGTTACAAACCGGTGCCGGTATACGCCAAAGCTGAAGAATACAAACACGAAGATTTCTCAGGGCACGAAGGATCACGTCAAGGAAACAAAAATCAGGACGATCATTAATTGAAACAAATAAAACGAAAATACGCTTAATTTATTACAGGGGCTGACTTTTCCATGTTGCTAGTCTACAATAATGATGTTATTCATTTAAACTGTTAATAAAAACAGTTTTTTCAATTTTCCAATATATTATAGTTATTTTTATTTCCTCAATCAAAAAATAGTATCCTGAATCTAAGCTCACAAGAAAATAAGGACATCTTAAAAAGAAATATCGACGAGCTTTAATTTTACTTATTAGCATTGTCACAATCAGCAGACAGCACACATGTACACATGTGTATAACATCAATAAATTAATTAACAACAAACATAAACGGCTACAGATAAAAATAAATATTTAACTTTACGCAAAGATACCTCAATGATGTCCATTCCAAACGTTCTGCTTACATGAATTAATTAGTTACACATCTATTGATTCTTAAAAACCAAAATCGTTTTCGTATTGTTTTAGGGAAAAAATTAATCAAATATAACGCAATGCTCAAGCGTATGGCGTTTAAGTATGTTCCATTTTCGAAGGCGTTTTCTGGACTAAAACGGTCTTTCATTTTAAGAACCAGCAATAAATATAAGAACAAAAAAACTTTTTTCTTAATGTTTTAAAATAAATTTAATTAAACGATTATTGCCTAAAATAGAATGGAATAAAAAAAAAGACTGGATTTTAATCATTGATTTAGTTAGCACATTTAGCCAAACATCATCCCAAGTTTACAATGTAAGTGCAGCCAACTGATTGCCTTAACAAGCTAGGGTACATGAATAAAAAAACAACAACAGCAAAAAATGAAAACTCGTAACGCTGTTCCCTCAAAAATCTATGCCCCCCCCCCCGGAAATACACAAAGCAGGAACACCTCTTAGGTCAAACGTGGGAAGCATACACAATCCGAGATTTACTTTATCATAAATGCATAAACAACATATTATGGAAATTAGATGAGAATAAAAAATACAATGTAGCAAATTATCACGTATTTAAAGAACCTGTATGGAATATCATTAATGAACATGATGAAGCCCTCATCTCATTATCCCTTAGAAATAATTGTACATTTTATTTGTAGGCGACTCAATGAAGTGGGAAATACCTTTCAGCTTTAATGAGACATTTTAAGTATGAGAATGAAATTTATAAACAGGTCAATGAGTTTGCCATGGGTGTACTTACCCTTCTTTTGGCGTATTGATTATCATTGAGCTAGTGGACTTGATTTGGTTGTTATGATTTTACTCTAAGAGTAATTTAGAAATAGTAAACCAATTATGTACCTGTGAAAGTGAGGTCCTAGGTGTGATGGTCATCAAGAACAGAAGAACACTGGTATCAAAAACCTATCATCACTGATAGGTTACTTTCCTCCTTGTCGTTCGTTCTAGTTAAAAGTTAGTGAGGCTTTGAACTTTCTTGACCGTGCTATTAAATTGAGTGGCAGTCAGTTTCACAGGAAGAATATTACGAAAAAGAAACAAATGTTGAAAAATGTTAGGGTTTAATGTCTAACCAACAGACCTATTTCCCAAGACTATTCCAAATGGAAGGTTGCCTCACGGGGATTCATTTGTAAATGTAAATAAGAAATGCTTTGCCATAACTTATAAATGGTGTGCTTAACAAATCAAACCGCTTAATTTGAAGCAATTGTTGACTGACCAGCCTAGTTGCATTTGTTCAGTAATAAAAGTATCGACCACTTTTTAACTTACGAACACTCTGGAACAAGGTATGATTTTGAAGAAAGCAAATTTAGTTGCTTATGCCAAGCTTTCGTCCTATCGATAATCTACTTATATAACGTTGCAATACTCTTACCGCCCTTGGGAAAGATGGGACTGAATCGGGCTTCAAGGAAGTTTGAGATGACCTGCAAAAACTTGAAAAGTTCAATGTGTAGACATATTTAAGGTTGTTTTGTAAGTTTTATATAGTTATATTGATTGTTAAATAAATTTTACAAATATTTTTTTAATAAAATACAATACAAAAATTAATATAGGTCCTGACGATGATCTTAAAAAGGCCGACAAACCGTATCTTGATCCAGAGTGTTCGTAGTTGTATTTTATTAAAAAATAAAAAGCTTCAACAGTATGAAATCCTCACTGATGGTGGCACAACGCTGAAACACATTTGAGTACATCAAAAGCCGCGTGTATAAATGGACGGAGCAAGTGACAACACCCACCCTCAACAATAATTTTATATTGTTGAAGTAGAAAGGAGCGTTCAGGAATGAAGTATTTCAGATAAACACTTTTTCATTTTTTTTTCTTTGCCGATGTTTCCAACTTTATTCGGGTCATGTTCTGGGCTTGGCTGAATTACAAAACATACGTTGATTGAACAAAATAATTATACACAGATGTAAATAATATAAACTTTGAAGTGCTATTCTTGTGGTGTCATGAATCTTTCGAGTGAAAATTATTATTATTATGCTACGTATCTAGAGTCCTGAACAAGGGATAATAAATACCGAAAGCTTGGCTGCAGTGCAAAACCTTTTTGAATTTTGGACCACCTCCCTGATCCAAAAAACCTCTTGATTGATTAGTTTTAGCTTTCCAGCTAGGCTGGAATGTACTGCTGTTTTAATATGTACAGGTCTGAAGACGTTAATACCAATTTAACAATTCAGAAATCACCAATATTAATGAAAAAAATCGAGCCAAAGTTATCACTTATATTTTTAAACAAAAGTCTATATTTACATTAAAATAATAATATATTGGTAAATGTAATAATAATATATTTATGATAGAATACTATCTGTATATTTTTTTAGTTAGTCCTATTTAACCAAAGTAATGATTTATATATGTTTGTAAATAATTTTTTATGTAATGTATGGTTGAGAATAAAATATTTTTATTACATTAAATGGATACCTGGAAATTAACACTATTGGTTTATTGCTATTTCTAATTTTATTCTTTTGGCATTTTAATTAAATCTGCGAATTACTTAATAAATATTTCACAGTGCTGTAAGTTTTGAATTATACTTTACAAATTAAAGTTCAAAGGAAGATAAAAGGCGCAATGGAGTGCTACAGGAACGGCATGTAAGTAATATGTGCAGTTTTTTCGTTAAAAATTGACATTTTAAATCTTATTGTTTGTCCTTAATTTGGTGTGGGGGGGTGAAACCATTTAACTCATAAAATATAAATAAATTTGCCTAAATCACAAGGTCCTCTTCTTTGGGCAGTCAATAATTTATACATCACAAGGCTGGCGACATTATGATTTTTGTTGCTAATTTTGAAAACAAATAAATTTTCTTTGTTTATTGTAGTTTTCATGGGTAATCAAATTAAATATTTGCAGATATTTTACGTTCTCAACATGTTAAAAAAGAGTGGTAAAATAAACGAGTAAAAATCTAGCTTCTATCAGCCCTGAAGGGAGACTCAAGCATTAAATAATTTATGAAATCCCATGGCTGATCTCGGCGATTTTATGATTTTTAATGTTAATTATTCAACCAAACAAATAAATAATTTTTTTCATGACCAATAGAATTAAATATTTTTAGATATTTCTAAAATTCTATTTTTTATTCTAATTATTCTATTATTTTATTATTCGAAAATTCTTGCTTCTAGCAGCCATAAAGAGAAACATTAACAATAAATAATTTTAAAAATCTCAAGGCTTGGGACTTTATACTTTCTACTGCTAGTTTTTAAACCAAATAAATTAATTTTGTTTCACGAACAATCAAATTAAAATTTCCAGATATTTGACGTTCTTAGCATGTTAACAAAAAGTGGTGAAATAAAATACTGTCTTTTTGTCCTTCGTATGAAAAACTCACTAGAAAATAAAATATATTCTGCCTCTGTCATAACAATATTCATAGTTATCATTTGCTCTAGTCATCAGTGACTAAACGTGAACCAGTCGACTACATTTCAACAAAAGAGAAAATCAATTTTTCGAATTATTGGCAGTACGATAATAGAATCGGGCTAATTTTAGAACTGTTCCATCCCATTGAATTTTCTACTAGGTACACCCAATAAGTGTTTAGGAATAAACACACTTTCTCAAAGGTAATTCCAATTGGGCTTTTTTTTATTGATTCTCGGCCGGCTCATGAGGATAAAGAACCACAGTCTGCATGGTTTTGCGTAATATTTCACTATTCTCGTCGGCCCCTTAGCCTAGACCACTAATTACAATTGTTTCGGTCACTGAGCGTTACAACTATCCCGATCGGTGCTAATAATCCTGCAGAACCTTTAGTTGCGCCACCAAAATTTTCGCAATGCGCTTCTTCCACAGTCGAGTTCTGAATGCTATTGACAATACGCGAACCATTTTATATTCGCTATAATCAATTTCATGTAGTCGAATGGTTACTGTACTCGAATTGACGAAAATACAAACATGCCGGTTTATTGAAGAGTTAGAATACAAAGAGACATATAGAAGAATTTTTAAATTTAAAAACTAGAAAATACTAAAAAAGTGAAAAAAGGATTACCAAATTTTGTTTCGGACAATTTTTTAAACTATAAATCATTATAAATAACTAGAAGATAAAAAAACCAAGCTATGACAACCACCATTTTGATGATTTACAATGATTTTACCTGTACCAATTATTTAATCTAATGTCAAAATACATCAATATTTCAATGAAGTTTTATCATTTTTAATTTAAAATTACATGTATCATAAATTGTTGGAATTAATTGCCAACGAACCAAATTCACCTTACTATCTGCTTTCGATACAATAATAAAATAGTTCATTATAAGAATTAACAATAAAGTAGTAGCCAAAGCCCGCGCACATACATGCCCGTTGTACATAGAAAGGTTGCTCGATGTGTCCACATAATAGAGGCGTGTCATGCCTTGGATCCATACAGAGAGCGTATGGGCATGCCACCGGATCTGAACATGGTTCTCGAGCACAGCGGTCGGTTTCTAGGTTCCCTGGTCAGGCCATCAGGCAGTGTGTGAGTACTTAGGGTCGATTGCGAAATATTTATCAAAGTATCTCATCGATCCTAATTTAGGTTAAATTATTAATACTAAATTCACTAATTTCGTGGTCCGCTTGACCAATTAATATATTACAATTAATTAAGG